GACGAAATCAAACTATAGGCACTGTTTTAGATGTTGCATGGCGATATAAATAAAAAAAATAGTAGAACCCCATGGTGTCTCCTGTGTAAAATTATCCAGTTTTGAAAAGAATTCTGAAGGTTTCATGTGTCACTCTTGGAAAAGAGATGGCACCATTGGATAGAGATATTGACAGTCTGTAATTAGACCCTATGGGGACCGTGACCTGCTTTTTAAACAGTGACAGTCTGTGTTTTTGAATCCAAAATTTTTTTCTTACAGAATTATGTCTGTATTCAGTTTTTTAAAGCTAAATCGCTGCGGTCATATTCAAAATTGTTTAAACACAATTTACATGATTCAGCTTCTGAATTTCCAACTTGATTATGGTTTTTATCATAAAGGATATTGCTTGTGACTGTTTTGAATTTTGTGACGGTTTTTTTTTTATTGATGTATGTAAATATACTAGACTTTTGGTTAATGGTTTAGTAGGTCTTTCTGTAACAGAAAGGGAAAAAAATAAGTCACAATTTACATAAAAATCGGAAAAATTTAAATGACACAAAAGCAAATTTGGTTTTGAATGTACATTTTTTTATGCTAGCATTTGACAGATTTGGATATGTCTCCTGCACTATGGGTCAAAAGTAAGCAGATTATAAAGTGACAGATACTTTTCCTAGTGGTCAATTTATGGATAACCTTGACCTCTGACTTTCAGGTCAATAGTTGGTAGGGCATTAGACCTCAGGTGTGTGGTTTGATCCCTACTCAAGATGGTGGGTTGTGTTTCTCGGAAAGTGGAGATCATAAATTGTCAGATGCTGTTGTGTTTAAATGTGTCTTTAATCAAGAATGTTTACCCTAACTGCTTAAGATAGTCGTACCTCTAGCATGATGTTCAGTATGGTACAAAGCAGTCCCCAGCTTCTACATAAGGAGGCAATGCCTTAACGTGACCTTGATTCAGTCCACAACATGATAAATACAGCAAACAAAATGACTTTCAGAGCAATTAACAAATTTGATGTGGAATATGATTATACAGAAAGGGAAATAACTCTCATTTAGATTGATTTGTTACATTAAAGCTGTCAACAAGGCAGGAGAGTGACTTCAGACTTATATAGCAGTCAGCAATGAGATGACTGTGGTCGGTCTTTTAAGTCAGAAGTTGTTTGTCACGAGCACAAAGTGACTGTTATTGTCGAGATCCCCCCTCCCTCAACCCCCCTTTAGCTTTCCTCCACAGGGCTGGTATCTTTTATCAGAGATGCAGATTGTAACCAGAACCATATGTCAAATGCACTATACACTGCCACAGTGTCACGTTTGCCGTTTGTACCACATATTTGTTATTGATTCTGGTATGTGTACTGTCCACAGCACCTGTTTTTGTTTTCTTTTAGTACACAATGATTACTTCTAAAATTAGTATGTTCACTTCTGAATTCCTGTGTACATGCATATTTTTCATCCTGTATACGTAGGCTGGTTGCCCACATGATGGCATTGTCGTCTTCCTCATGTAATTCTGACGCAGGCACAATGGCTCTTGAATCTTCTGAGGCTATAGACTTATTTCATTTTTGTCTGACGTACCTTTAATGACACTTTAGATGCAATAGAACATGGAATGTTTTTTTTTGTGGGTGTTGTTGTTGAAGCAATGCGTAACAAACGTAAGAAATGAAACACAAATGTTGCGTCAATATATAAAACCAGTCACAGGTCTTTTTGACGTCAATGACAATAGACGAACCTACTTTTGTAGAATTGGTGATAAAGAAAGGACTATAAATAGCTTCTGTGATGCTATTTTGACATAACAACACTTGCATTGTAGAAAATTGATTGCAGGATGACTTAGCTAATTACATTAACTATTGATGAATTACCAACACCCAGTTTGCTATTTGAGGAATTTAATAGTCTTTCAAATTACGAGAATTAACTGTATATTGATTTCATTTATTTATTAATTTATTTACACATTTCTGATTATTGTTCATTTATATTCAGCTTAGTGGAGCATTATTTTCTCTGGCACTTCTTCTGAAATAGCTTGGATGTGCTGAAATTACTGGGCATGCCTTTTTGATCATTAGACCATTTTTGTTCAAGAAAATATTAAACCCATGATATTTCTTTACAGTCCTGTAATAACCCCATACTCAGAATAAGAATTGATATCACAGCCATTTGGCTTTTAATTATTAAATGAAGAAAAAATGATGAATTTTGACAATCATATAACTTTGGAATTGTCATTTAATTTAAGGATTAAGAAACACTTATTGAGCTTTTTATAGAAAATAACACTTTATTCTTTAGATAGAAATGGAAAGTTAAGAATCATTGGTACTGGGATCTCTTGTCTACCCAAAAAAGGATGTCTGAAGGTGGAGGACAGTGGATTGTTGACCTTCTGTTTTGTTGTCAGTTTACTTGAATACTGAATATGAATATTCTTTTTTACAAACATTCAGCTGAACAAATGTCAAGTGAATATTGATATAACTCTGCCATGTAAAGTTCAGTAGAATATGATGTGTGTGTTTCAGATTGTTAGAAGATCTGGAAGGCTTTATTCTGATAAATCATAAATGTAAAAGAAAAAAATATCATTAAACATACAAAAGGGTGTGAGAATAATGTAAACAGTGGGGTTGGAAGCTTGCACCTCTAAACATATAAAATTCTGACTTGGACTGATAAAATTTCATGTTTGCGTGAACTAAGACACGTTTAGAGTCATTCTGATGATGTTGAGTCCAGAGGGACCCATACTGCCTTCTCAGATGGTTGTAACTGTACATTCAATCTACATTACCCCTCAAGAGATTTGTCTGGCCGTCAAAACTCTTCACTTCATTTATTATTTGTTATTCTAGCTGTAATCAAATTCCAGATCTATCTGTTTCTCCAAAACAAACCATTTAAGTTTTATGACTATACAACTATAACCCAATAAGATAGTCTTCTTAGTTGTTGTTCAAAAACCAGAATGATTTGTTTCTGACAGCAGTCTTAGTATTTATCACATGTATGGAGTAAATACCATTCAAAGTTGATGGCATGAAAAGAAATATGTGATTGTTTGGGAAAAAAATTAATTGAAAAATCTTTTAGAAAAACAACCTTTTAAGAATTTTCAACAGTTCGATATAATGTGACTAAAATAATTTGAATTTAATAGAATGATGGTTTCCATCATATTGTTTGTAGTTTAGCTTTAGTTACACTGGGGATTGAATCAACGAGAAAGAAATTATCTGTCTGTAGCATATGAAAAACAGTCACTCCCAATCTGTTTAAGTAAATGTCGTTGATGAGTATATTTTCTGCATTTGTTCGGTTTTTTTTTATCTTCCTTAAATGTGAAAATCCTTTAAAATCAAAACTGTCAATTCTGTAATAAAAAAAGAAAAGAAAAAAGTATGAACTAATACCTCCTAAGTTTATACAAGGGAATATTTCCCAATATCATCAACCCCAGGTTCCGTAGGATAATTTCTTTTGGTGTTTGTCTGTTACAAAAAAGTCCTTAGCAAAATCATCAGCATATGCCATAGATTTATCAAATATTCGTGATATGTAAATACAATATTTGCTGATGGTGACTCTAATCATTTTCATAGTCTAGGTAAATATGCTACATTTCGAATAAATTTAAAATGGTGAAATAGTGCACCCACAATATCTGCAAGGAACCACAACCACCTGAATAATATTTCAGTGTTTTAATGTTTTCAACATGAAAATGACTGTAGTAAGAATACTTCCAGAGACTTGTCTGAAATGACTGTAGTAAGAATACTTCCAGAGACTTGTCTGAAATGACTGTAGTAAGAATACTTCCAGAGACTTGTCTGAAATGACTGTAGTAAGAATACTTCCAGAGACTTGTCTGAAATGACTGTAGTAAGAATACTTCCAGAGACTTGTCTGAAATGACTGTAGTAAGAATACTTCCAGAGACTTGTCTGAAATGACTGTAGTAAGAATACTTCCAGAGACTTGTCTGAAATGACTGTAGTAAGAATACTTCCAGAGACTTGTCTGAAATGACTGTAGTAAGAATACTTCCAGAGACTTGTCTCAATGTCATGTTTAAAGATGTTTCAAAAAATCAAGTCTAATAATGGTTTCTTATTGTAGATGTTTGATCACTATCTAATGTTAAGATTTGAGATGTGTGGTTTGATCAGGCCAGGTTTCTGTTTCTCAGAAGTCTGATAGTGGTTTCTTATTGTAGATGTTTGATCACTATCTAATGTTAAGATTTGAGATGTGTGGTTTGATCAGGCCAGGTTTCTGTTTCTCAGAAGTCTGATAGTGGTTTCTTATTGTAAGTTTGATCACTATCTAATGTTAAGATTTGAGATGTGTGGTTTGATCAGGCCAGGTTTCTGTTTCTCAGAAGTCTGATAGTGGTTTCTTAAAGATGTTTGATCACTAAAAAGATTTGAGATGTGTGGTTTGATCAGGCCAGGTTTCTGTTTCTCAGATAAGTGGTTTCTTATTGTAGATGTTTGATCACTATCTAATGTTAAGATTTGAGATGTGTGGTTTGATCAGGCCAGGTTTCTGTTTCTCAGAAGTCTGATAGTGGTTTCTTATTGTAGATGTTTGATCACTATCTAATGTTAAGATTTGAGATGTGTGGTTTGATCAGGCCAGGTTTCTGTTTCTCAGAAGTCTGATAATGGTCTCTTATTGTAGATCTTTGATCACTATCTAAAGTTAAGATTTGAGATGTGTGGTTTGATCTTTATTCAGGCCAGGTTTCTGTTTCTGAGAAGGTTACGAACCCTTCTGCACTGTCATGTTTATATCCTTAGAAAGTCACTATACCAATATTACTTTGGATAATATGCAGCAGTTCTCCTGCATGTTGTTCACAAAGATAGCACCAGCTGCCACAAGGAGACCTGGTCACTGAGCAATAAAACCCTCCAAATAAACATCTGTTATCAGTCTTGTAACCGTGACATTTGTTCTTTTCTGACAGTGATGAGGCTGACCAAGCCAGCCTTAATGCCGTACCACCCATTTGTTAGTGATGAACGGGACTTACAGGGCGAGATTTTTGCCAAGATGAGCGACACTGATATCGCCCGACCAGCTGGAGTGCCCTATTTTGGATTAGGGGACCTGTTAACTCTTCCACAAAATTTTGGGTGAGAACCAATATATTGGTTATATTTTAGTGGCATTTTATCAGTATAATGTATATGGTTACAGATTCACAACATTTGTTGACATTTCTATGACAAGTGCATTAGAGTGGGTGGGCTTATTACCAAGCATGGGTTAATGGTCAGATAAATTTAATATTTTACAAAAAGCTTTATCAGCTTCAATTTTACCAACTGGTATGCGTTCATCTCTATGGAGTTCTCCATTGGAGATTGCAAGGGGCCTTCTTGGGCAATCCTACTTTGTTGGGCATGTGACCACATATCTTTTCACATCAGGGTTTCAAACTTTTGTCACCAAGGTTAAAGGTGTATGTATCAGTTAGCACAGCACCATTTCACCACTCAACTTTTATCTGTTAATCCAAAAGAAAAACATATTATTCTCTTATGGCAAAGAAGAATTCTGTTATACCAGAGAAAAATCTATTCAGTGAAAGAATCTTCAATGCAGGAAACTATTTCATAATTCAATACTTACCTGTCGCTCTCTGAAACATTTACTGACATACCTGTTTAGGATTTTATCCAAATATGACAAATCTGTATTAATGTAAGTTATTTGTATTCACTCTGATTTACAGAAACATTTTCCTGGGCGAGACATTTTCCAGTTATATCAGTGTCCATAATGACAGCACAACTGTTTGTAAGGATATTGTCTTAAAGGTAAGTAAAGTGAACTTGGTTCTGAATATATTATATAGGTTTTAGTCAAATCTGAATGAAGAAACCTCTAACTGTCAGGAGACCATTTGTATTTAAGATTTTGCTATGGTAAAAAACACCTGTATATACCTGTGCTAAGAACTCACCTGTATTTAACAGTTATGCCTATGTTAATAGACTTTGATTAAGTGCAAACCTGTGTTAAGGGCTGACAAGTCTGTAAGAGTACACCTGTGTTGAGAGACCACCTGTAGTTAAGAGCAAACTTGCATTAAGAGCCTTCCTGTATCAAAGAGCATGCCTGTATAAAGAGGCCAACTGTGTTTAAGAGCCAACCTATGTGATTAAACCACCTGTATTATATTTATTTTACAAGATCACAGTCAACAGTTTTATTCACCAAGTGTTCAAAAAAATAACCAGTTAATTCTTTCAACATAAAATTTGTAAAAAATATATAAAGGATTTAACAACTGCTGAACTCAATGAATTGTTAATTTCTTAAATCTTTACTGTAACATTTTCAGATTTGAAGTCACATTTAAAAACCAAGAACAATAAAGTCTTCTATTAATGGTTAGCACTTTAGCCTACCACGAGTGGTTACCATAAATCTCTAAAAAATAACTTATGAATTTCCGTTGTAGCTCATTTTTGAGAGACATTTGGATATTTATGCTGCAATGCCATTGACTTCAGACAGCAAAGTTATTGAAAAATCCTTTGATTTTCTGAAGTATTAGTTAAAAAATGTTTTTTCCCCATTATTTGCCTAATGCACTACAAGAGTTGGCAGTTTTAGAAGCACTAAATATGTAGTTTTTACAATTAAGTCTGAAGTGATTGACAAACCATTGGTATAACATTAAAACTGTATTAATTGAATGCAGAATGTTTGTGAAGATCAAAGCAATGATTTTAATTTCTTATCAATTTTCAAGTTTATAACATATTATTTCATTACGGTTTTTCAACAAATGAAAAATTATCAATCTGGATATAAAACATCAGCCCACAAGAATCGAAAAATTAGCAACCTGGATATAAAACATCAGCCCACAAGGATGGAAAAATTAGCAATCTGGATATAAAACACCAGCCCACAAGGATGGAAAAATGATCAATCTGGATATAAAACACCAGCCCACAAGGATTAAAAAATTAGCAATCTGGATATAAAACACCAGCCCACAAGGATGGAAAAATGATCAATCTGGATATAAAACACCAGCCCACAAGGATGGAAAAATTAGCAATCTGGATATAAAACACCAGCCCACAAGGATGGAAAAATTAGCAATCTGGATATAAAACACCAGCCCACAAGGATGGAAAAATTAGCAATCTGGATATAAAACACCAGCCCACAAGGATGGAAAAATTAGCAATCTGGATATAAAACACCAGCCCACAAGGATGGAAAAATTAGCAATCTGGATATAAAACACCAGCCCACAAGGATGGAAAAATTAGCAATCTGGATATAAAACACCAGCCCACAAGGATGGAAAAATTAGCAATCTGGATATAAAAGACATCAAATACACACATGTCTCATTGTTTCATAGATTTGATTTTTGTGGTCATGTTCATGTATTACCAAATAGCGAAAATGTCAACCACGCAAATAAAAACAGTATATGATTGTATAACATGTGTGTAATATGTAAAAATGTTACACAGGTGTATGTATACAGTAATCCAACTCTTGTTAGCTCAAACTGAAACATGGAAGAGGTTAACTTGTGGGAGGAAACCAGAACGGCGGAGAAAATCCATTTAGTCGGGCAGGTGACTCAGCCATAACTTTTTATATCCAACGGGGGAATCAAACCCTCCTTGCCAAAGTGTAAGGCGAGTGTGTGTCAAGCACACTACGTTTCTACCTTTCTGGTATCTGCTAATACAGATTTGGTATTAGTTTTTAACTACATCAACTAGAACGCATTACATTCTAAATGTAGAAAAAATGAGGATTCAGAATTTCAGTAAATGTCTAGGTTCCAATCCAAATGACCCTTGGATACATGTACTATTGTATAGGTGCCTTAATTTTTGATAGACTCTTATAGATAATGATTGATTGTCTTGTGCTTCAGGTTGACCTCCAGACCAGCTCACAAAGATTGATGTTGTCTGGGTCGGAGTCACGGCCCCTGATGGAACTCCCCCCTGACTACAGTATTGATGATGTCATACATCACGAAGTCAAGGAATTAGGCACACATATGTAAGTTACCATGTTAACTAGATGAGCTTAAAGTACTGCCTACATGTTTTTTTTAATTATAATTATTTTGAAAAGTACATAGACATTGATTAAGAGAAGTGTGGTGTGTGAATATTTACATATTGTATTGTTCAGAACTTTGATATATATTATTTGAACAAAAAATATTCTAATAAATCTTAAAGAGTTTTCTTACATTTTCACAAAAAAAAACAAGTCAGAAGCTAAACCTTATAAATGATATCATCTATCTGCAAATTTATAAATCATTGAAATACAATTTTAATGTTCAAGAAATATCCATTTGTGAATTTATTCTTATCCCCCCTTCAGTTTAACATTCATAAATTTGTTGTTGCTCAGGTAAAATTGTCATTAGTCATTAAGTCTAAATTTGTTCTAAAATTGATTGAGTTTATGTTGTTTTTCAAATCGCCCTATGCCTGTCATACCTCATCCCTCATCCGTCCATCCTTAAAAATTTTTCGCTATTTCTTGAGAAATACTGGATGGATCTTTCTGAAATTTCATACATAGGTTCTCTGAAAAACAAAATGGCTTTTTTCATTGCAGATTGTTATTGCTATTTCTTGAAAAATATTGGATGGATCTCTCTAAAATTTTATATATAGTTTCCCCTTGGTCTGTTGTTGTGGCCATCTGATTTTGGGACTGGTCAGAAAATCCAAAATGGCCAACAGGTGGCCATTTTAGATTTTGACTTTGCAAGATTGTTATCGCTATTTCTTGAGAAGTACTTGATGGACCTCTCTCAAAATTATTATGAAGGTTCCCCTTCATCCCTTATTGTGGTTATGTGATTTTAAGTCTGATCAGAAAACAAAATGGCAGACATTTTGATCCCAACTATAAGAAAACTATCTAAAATGTACACAAAATGCTAAAAAATGCTTAATGCCAGAAAGATATTTCCATTAGTACTCAGATTGCTATAAATCAGTCAAATTCTATTAGAATTAAAAAAGGAAAAAAGAGAATGGCAACAAATGGAACTTTGGTAATAGATGTAATAACAGTTTTAAAAGTCAAGGCTGGCACAAAACCATCTCAGTTTGCATTGACCGATACTGACCAGTGGTCACTGTGATTCGTCTTGTTTTAGATTGGTATGTGCAGTAAGTTACACCACAAGCCAGGGCGAGAAGAATGCTTTTAGGAAATTCTTCAAGTTTCAGGTGAGTGATTGACTGAAAAATGGTGTGAAGTAGACCTTTATACTGTATTCTACTTTAGTTCTGCTTAATTTAAAAATAATATAATTATACAAAGTTAAAACTTATGCACAAACATATGTTAAAAATGTATTGATATTGCAGGTGTTGAAACCTTTGGATGTGAAAACTAAGTTCTACAATGCAGAGGTAAGTGTTTCATGGCAATATTTTTCATTTCTTGTATTTAATAAAATTCTTTGTATGTAACTTTATTATCTTTAATAACAGTGTCCAATTATATAAATGATTTTTTTTTTCGGCCAGTATGTCATCATAATCTAAAAACCGTTTTCATCTTTAAATCAAATTTCTGTATCCCTTGTTATATTTGGACTCACATGATTGGCTTTTATTTAGAATCTAAAATCTAAAACATAATTCCCTCATTTCCACTGAAATCTGTGTTTTTACAGAAGTTTAGATTGAGATTGAAAACGGGATTTATGTGTTAAATCAGTCAGTGCTACTAATAAACCTAGAATCCTGATGGGTCTGTATCTCATATGTAGGTGTTCTTAGTGGCCATTGGATGTGCATGTTCAGTTTTAAGACTGTTTGGAAAATAAAATGCCAACAGACTGCCATGTTGGCCTTTGACAGCTTAGTTTTGTTTCTTACAAAGAAAAAGAGGAATCATTCACAAATTACATATATATGTGTTTGCAAAGAAAAAAATGGCAAAAAAATGGCCATCGTTTATTTTGACAAATTAGCTTTATGACTGTTTTTTTTTTTTTTTTTTTAGGGATCATTCTCAAATTTCATATGTTAGTATTCTTAGTGTAATAGTGTAACCAAGTCACCTGCTAAGACAACTAATGATTAAGAATCAATCAGAGACAAGAAATTAAAAGGATCAGAGGATCGTAGAGTTCAGTTCTATCAAAGTAACAGACTTTCAATATTTCTAGATTTTTTACTCAGACAATTAATCAATCTCTCAGTTCATCTCATTGTCTACTATTATTTCAAATGATCTTACCCACAATTATAATATTGTAGGTTAGAATCATGCACATGCACCAGCTAAGTGTGAAAATCTTGTCCAATGTCCCATTATAAACGGAGTTATTACCCTTTGTTTAGTTTTTATGCTAAAGTTTTCTATAAAGTTGGGAACTATATATGCTTAATGCTGTCTTATTATATACATGTATTTGATATATGTGAGATGATGTTTGTTTGATATTAAAATTAAAGCCTGCTCTATGTAATTCTCTAATCAATTTATATTATGCTTTTTAGTATATTTGTCAGTGTCTGTCTGTAAAGTGATGTTTGCAGAAAATTAATTATGTTTTTTCTTGCTACATATTTTATACTTGTATGGTGATGTTTTTGGCAGAATTTAATTACATTTTTTTCCTCTTGAATTAACCGAACTTTTTTTTAATTTCCTGATTTTTATTGAATGTTGTATTCATTCAGGATTACGTCGTAAGTGATCAGCCCAACCCTTGTGTTGTATCCTCATTTTGATTTGGCATTCTTTTTACTTAACTTCTCGCTTGGATGCAGCTGAAATTGATTTTTATACTGATTTGTAATTTGCATGCTTTTCCTTTTATAAGCTTATATGGTTGATGCGTTCAATGTCTGATTTTTACCAGTGTGTGCTTCCTCATTCAAATCTATTTTCAACACCATTGACCTAATGTATATTTTTCATCCATGCAAGACTCTGGTAATTGGGAATTAATGTTTTACAGAGGCAGTTTTGATTACACCCCTTATTAAGTAGTCTGCACTCAGGTTTTATACTTCATTGCTAGCAACATGTTTATTATTTACTAAACATTTTTGTAGGGTCTCTTTTATGATACCAATGTCTTTGCTTACTCTTCTGTATCAATTAGGTATACGTAATTATCTGTTCCTTTAAACTTTTCTAAAATTTTTTCTTCTATTTCAACCATGAGTTGCTATCAACAATTAAATTTTTATTAAAAAAAAAGATTAAGATTAAAAAGATGCCTGAGTTATCATAAAAATTTCCTAACAATAATGTATTGCACAAAAAAAATGATGAAAACAAATATTGTACTTGAAGTTTACAGCTTAGCTTTTTGAAAGTGAGTTCAAGATTTGTTTCAGATCCAACTTTTAAAAAGGAAATTGAAATGAAGGAGCAAATTTCAATGTCCTCATTTGAAGTACATGTATATTATGATTCAAACTTACAAATTAGCGTAACATAAAACAAAAAGGACGGAGTTTGCAATTGCATATACTCAGTGTCGCCAACTCACCTGATTTTGTCAGGTAAACATGATATTGACCATAGAATCAATAACATAGAACATCATCTTAATATATTCAGGTGTGATAATTATAAAACGAAATTGATGATAAGATCTTTCTACCTGATTGCCCTTTAAAACACCTTGTCACCCTTGATTTGAAGGCCATGAACAGATACTTTTTGACAAAACTGGCTGGAAATACTATATGCTGCACTACATTTTACAGAAAAATTTAGTTGATATATTCTCTGATCATCCAGACATAAACAAGAAAATGAGTTGTAAGATTAATACTGCATTTCATAAATCAGCTTTAAAATTTGTAAAACTATTACATGCACTATATTGTTTTTGTGTAAAGTTTTCATACAGCTAGAACAATACATACATGTAATTTAGTATATATATATACTCTAGTGAATGGTCTTCATGCTTTAGGATCTATGGAGTTTTGAAGATGTAAGTAAATTTCATTGATATCCTTTATTTAAAACATACAACTTACACAAAGACTTTTCCTTATATGTCACTCCCACAAACAAGTTGACCAGAATTATCTCCCCTTAAGCTTACCAAAACCAAGATATATTGCACTTTGCTCATATCAACAATTAAGACCTAATATATATTTTTTCCACAAAATGTGCTGATACCTACAATCACAGCTAGACCTAGTTTCTTTCTGATCAATGGACTTTTTCTGTGGTTCAGACACAGACTTGGGTACTTCTATTGGTTAGATAACCTGTATGTAGGCTTGGAGATTAGTATGCATCTGTCATTATTAAACACCCTCTACCTGTCTTTTCACAAAAAAATATGCAAAATGAAAATTTTCAGCGCATAAGGGGAAAGATTTCTCAATGTACTTAATAAATGTTAAGTAAAAGTTTGAAGACTTAGAACATTAATTGCAGTAGTTAACTTTTAAAGGGGACATAACTCCATTTATTATTGTCAGTTTTGTGTTTATTATATTTCCTTCATTTTTTAGCATTAAATGATATTTTAGAAATGTTAATGTACTCAGATAGTAGGAAACAAAATGATATCTTGGCAGGAATTTTCATTTTATTTCTCCACTTGTCTGAATAAAAATGAAATCTCATCTCAAATAAATTCACTGAAAAACAAAACATAGTGAAATCAATAAGATGAGACAACATATTGAAAAGATAATGGTGAATAGTTAGTGATTCCATAGCAAGTTCAAGATTAGTATAGTGAAACAAAAACATCAGTCAATACAGTCCAAGTCAAACTAATTACCTCCCCTTGGCTTATCATTCACGCTATAACTCTATTCTGCACGCTTCAGTAATATTAGATCTACATATATTTACTCAGAAATTGACCTGTATGAGGGAAGTAGTATTATTAACTATTTTACTTTTTTTTTCTATTTTTTTTTTTTTCATGCTGTTGGAAAATAAACAACACAATTTTAGGTTTGTATCTCATTAGTGAGATTCTTAAAAACTGTACCCCAAACTTTGTTGTTGTTTCAAATAATCTATATCTTTCAAAAATGCATTAAAATGTATTAAAAATGAAAAAAAGATGTATTTCAGATTTATTTTGTAAGGCCTCTGGATCCTGATCTGATATCTTGTTTTATTTCGTTTTATTATTCAGAATATTTTTATCAACAGCTTCAAATTTGATGTAAAAAATGGTCGGGAATTTAAATAGAACAAAAAAATTTAATTTTTAATCATGAAATTACAAACCTATTCAATTAATATCTTGTTATTTTATAACACATGTACATCCTTAAATGTTTATGGTAAAGATTACAAAATATTTTACACAAATGTTGAATCTCTTTTTAAATTACACCAAAGAAGACTAAATTAGAAAGTTTTTTCAATATATATAGAAAAGATTATCTATTTTGTGAAATTTTATTTCTGCAGTGGCCTGATAATGTTGTCTTTCTCTAATAATGTGAATTTAAACAAGCCTATATGTATCTATATTTATCTCTGCTTGGATTTCCATTTCTGCAATTTTTAGAAGAAGGTCAACTATAAGCATATTTCTGTATTTAGCTCTCAGGGGGTTTCCTTTAAAGCTATTTTTAGAAGTTTTTGCAAGGAGATATAATAATTATGTTATGTTCACAGTCTGATGAAGTGTACCTGGAGGCACAGATCCAGAACATTACACCTCAACCCATCTATATGGAACATGTTAGTCTTGATCCATCCACTCAGTACAATGCCAAGGAACTCAACAATCTAGATGGCAAGGAATGGTAAGAAAACCAATGGTTTTGATTGGCCAGATCTGAAAGTAAATCTATGTCTGGTGATAAGCCCACCCAAATCTGTGGTTATGTAGGTGTAGATTTAATGGTATTTGTCCAGTAAGCTTGCCCATCATCAGTTAATTTGTCTTTCAGATATTACATTACGTCTTGTGTTTACCTTTCTAACTATTGGTAGTCATCAGTTCTTTGTGAAACTTTCGTACTTGTCATTAGATATTGAGTATGGCCTTCATTTATATTTTAAAATGAGTTAATGTCATCATTTCTTGTGCTCATTTGAGCATTGACTTGTGTGGTCAAGTTATATATCAAATTACTACCTACAGGGAAACTGTGGCCCTTGTTTTAGGATTTGTCTTTGTAGATAAAATATTAATTTTACTTACATTGTGTTGGTATTAGCCTATAATTACAGAAAAATTATAACCCACCTTTTATTTTTACCCCATTTGTAAAAGAATGAAGAGCTACAACTGGGGTAAAATTTCCTCATAGACATTAACATTTGTTAGTTTGTTGGTTTTTTTGGGGTTTTTGTTCTGTTTTGTTGTATATTTGCCTTTTTTGTCTTTTTAACATGTATTAAAGTCGGAGATAAAAGAATATAAATCATGTCTTTTAATGATGAATTATATTTATATTTTTGTGGTTGCAGCCCAGACTTAGTGTTTGGGAAGGTGAACTACCTCAACCCTATGGACACACGACAGTATTTATACTGCCTTTCACCAAAACAAGAGGGCACACGAGACAGCAAGATTCTCAAGGGGGTTACAAACATAGGCAAACTGGACATTGTCTGGAAAACCAACATGGGGGAAAGGGGCCGTCTCCAAACCAGTCAACTGCAGAGAGTTGTAAGTGATCCGGACAGAGAAATTCAGAGGGGAAACTAAAAAAATATATACTTTTTGATAAGTGCAATTTGTATTTTGTATACTGTAAAATCAATATTTTAGTGAGGATATATTTTCATTTAATTCATAGATACTCTGAATCCACAAATATATGTATCCTCAAAAGTATGAACAGATTAAAGTTGACATGGATTATAGTACAAGTGGATGTTTGAGCAAGATTTATCCACAACATCATTTAAACATTCTGTTGATCCTATGCAGACATATGTAAATGTTTTATCATGAGTTAGAAATGTTTTGTTGTTTATATCCACAGGCCCCTGGTTATGGAGATATTCGAGTCACAGTGGAGTCAGTCCCTGATACTGTACAACTAGAGGTCACCTTCAATATCATCTGTCGCATTACAAACTGTTGGTGAGCAAACAAAAAGAAAAACAACAAAAAAATGAAAGATAAATGGAATTGGAATCAAATAGAAAATTATAAAAAGTTCTTCACTTTTCTCGTTGCACCAAGATAATAAGATTTTCGCTAAAAATTGTCTTTTAATCTCATTACATTTGGAGGTGGACAGCCCAATCCCTAAGGTCTTTTATTTAATTATAGATATCAAGGAAAGTAAATTTATATCAAGTATTTTTACAAAACAGATTTCCTTTAGTTAAATATTTATTTTGTGGTTTGAGTTTGTTTATTTAGTGTCTGAGAGCTGTCCTTTTCCACCACTAGTTTTATGTAAACCCTTATAGTCTTTGTGTGTTATGGTTAAGTAACACCTCAGACTTGCCATTACTCACAAATCTTCCAGTAACTTTTGAAGGTGGAAGAAATCAGTTTAAATAAATTGAGTTAACGTAACTTGAAAAAACCTGTGAATTTGTTTTAAACTTGTACACAATGTGGGTACACCAGGCTGTAATAAAGTTAGTGTGACTTGTGCTGTGTGAAATAGGTATTGATTGAAATATTACCTTTATTGATATTGATTGGTAATGTTTTGGTCATGTACGCCATTAATCTACATGATTGTAATTCAATCTGCAGTAACGTAACACACTGTAGGTGTCATCTACCTCCCCGTTATAGCTCTGTCATTGAAGCCCAAGTGTACCACAGCAGTGTAAATGAACAAAATGTAGAGTTAATCGGTCTGGATGCATATTGGCAGTGATTAGGGTGCGTAAACACCTTGCAGGACAATTGAGTGATGTCCCCTGTGAGGCTAACGCATTTTGTCTGACAGAACACTGCATATTTGTCAGAGATTAAATAAATTTAAACTGATTTATGAATTATCTGGGTTTTCTCAAAGGGCAGAAATTTATCACTGTACTGCGAGTGCTATGTGCATTTTGATGGGATGCAGTTGTTGTCTTCCCTGTCAAGTCGTGATTTTCCCCCAACCCCCACTCCTAGCTGAAAATCTTAATTCATGTTCTTTAATCCAATCAGTAATTAAAATGCTTTTTTTTCCTTGCTGTTTTTGTATGAAAGTAATCAAACAAGTTAAAGAATTTGATATGCCAAAGCCTGTAGGCGTGGGGAATGTGACATATCAAATTATTTAACAAGTTTAATTAATTCCATGTAATATGGCTAAGAGTGTGAGATTCTATTCTTCATATACCCAGTATTTCTGTAAAACACGCAAAAACTCTCATATCAATTTCCCTATAAATGGACTTTCTATTATATTTCAATGGGGACATTTTCCCTACCAATACCATAATATGACGTCATCAAGATTTCATTTATTAATGACGTCACAGTAGTGTTATCACAACTGTGTCTAACAATATTTAAGACATGGCTGTATGAAGTGACACAACAGGCCAGTTATCTGATAAAATTAGCTAATGACAATAATGTCTGCTGACCTGTAATAACTAAATAGCTTTCTAATACATCTTATTGTCACCAAATTGATTCCTTTGTCCATTAGTGATAGATGTTAACTCACCTCTCCATTTTAATTGTGGGTGGGGGATGGGATTGCATACAGTATTACCAATGTCCGTCACATTTCACATGGTCACTTAAAAACTGATTTTGCCTCCTGTTTCAGTGAGAGGACTATGGACCTGACATTAGTGTTACAGAACAACTCGTCTGCTGGATTGGTCTGGTGTGGGATTTCGGGCCGACAGCTAGGGAAACTCCCCCCAAATGAGCACATGGACCTCACTTTGACTCTAATAGCTACTATTCCAGGTCTCCAGGTGAGGGTTATTACCTTAGAAAGCTTACTTAACCCTTAATCATTCAAATAAGGGTGTGCAATAACTAGAAAAGACCCAGGGTATGTTACATTGGTTGCAAGAAACATTTTACGAACCACAAAGTGATAGTAAGCCTTGTGACATTAAATGAAATGTTTAATGTGTACTGCAAATTTTTTCTTTAAAAGCATGCACTTCCTTCATCAAAACATTTGCTTGGATGAATTATACTTCAAGAATAAGGATTTCAGGCCCCAGTTTCATGATTCTTCCTTAACTTAAGGAATTGTTAACTCATATAGCAAAGCATTAAGTTAAGGAAAAACATAAATTTAAGGAACTTTCCTGAACTTATGTAATGTTTCCTATGTGCAATTTTAAGTTAAAGAAAATTCAAGGAAGTTTTGTGATGCTGGAGCCAGAATACATGTACAGCTACATCTAAGTGTTTTCTTGTCATCTTCATTAAACTCCCACACTGTGTGACCTCTGTGTCCAGAGTTACACACTCTGTGATGTATCAGCAGTGAGGATATGCTTGTTGATAAAATGAAATCTAGGCATGATTCAGCTTGGATAGTGTTTCAGAGTTCTGACACAGTTGTCTCCCTTCTATTGCCTCAATTTTCAGCCATTTTCCTTTAAGAGAAAGTTTCAATCTTGCATAAAAATTGAGTTTCTTTTAATCATTGCACTAAATCAAACAAAATATTTAATGTTATAAGAAATTAAGGTGTTTTGTTCGAGTAATTGCTGTAAATTGTACCTGTCATGAAAGTCTAGTCATTACATGTGTCATAATTGTTGTTATGATATACTGATAGACATTTTTTTGTGTTGGAAGTTTTTTGCTTATTTCACGTAATCATCACAAATACATTAAATTCTAATATCACAGTTCATGGTGCTAAAACCAAATTGTATTAACCAACAAATTAAACTATGAAAGTCACAGATATTTTGGAATATGAAATATGAAGATTAATTTGGGCTGACACTTTGTCTACTAACCTGTTGTAAGTATGATATGATTAGTACAGTCCATTGTCAGTGTGAGCTTCCATATTCTTATTTTCACTGTGAAGTTTATTTATTTGCAGACAATATCTGGACTGAGATTGACTGACAATTTCCTAAAGAGGACATATGAACATGATGAACTATCACAAGTATTTGTATACAATGATTGTAGTCAGTGACACTTTTTATCCTCCATCATGGACTTTTTATCTGGCAGTCATGTGACTAGTGATTCTTAGATTTGGGATAAAGAAGCGGACCAAAGTGTTTCAATATATGCTGAGCCTCTCCAGGGATTTGTATTTTCACAATTTATAAAATTTTTGTGACAATTTCAGGTTCACTGGACAGTGACATTTACACACTGGTTTGCAATGTTATACTGATTTGGAAAACAGTCTTTTTAAGCATGTTAATGGTAATTTTCAATGACAGGGAGTCACATGTGTGGCTTGTTTTAGTGCTTCTGACCTTTTGATACAGCCGAGGTCACGTGTGACTTGAAGTGCCACCTGTTGGCAGTAACACAATCACAATTTAATATGAAGTCATCTGTTTTACCAACGTTGCCTGCTAGTGAGACAGTGACCATCAGAACCCTGGACTTTGAGTACTGGGTATAGAACCTAAACAAGATCAAACTGACATTGATAAGATTGTAGACTCTCCATTAATTTATTATAATCGCTGAAATCATATTTACACTGTAACTTGGACTGCCATTAATGGAATACACCTGCCACATGTATTTTTGCTGTTATTGGCAGTGATAGAAATCTGCTGTGTTTCAGCATGTGCATTAATTCGATAGAATTACTTTATGAATTTACTTCACTATTACTTAAAAAATATTAAAAAAAAAAAACTGTTGTAATAAGCGATTTATTTGCTGTAACAAACACGTTTATTTACGAAAATTCATAAAATTGCTTTTTATGTCCATTAAGGTGTGGAGCTATGTTTTTGCACAGATCAGTTATCTAATCATGTGTTACAAAGGTATTCTCTATGTATGTGTAAATCTTAATATATAAATATTGAAATATAATTCACCTGTGTATTAAATTCATTATCAATATGTATGCATGGATTAATAGGACGACGTGCGGATCTGAAACAAGCATGCAGAAGATATTAAGGAGAGTGAGAAACTATTATGATTTGTGAAAGTGAGATCATGTGTGTAAAACTGGGTATTTTGTATTTTTGTTGTCTTAATTTAGAGATTATGATTAAATCTAAAAAGTGCAGAAATATTATACTGTATGTAAAGGTGTTGTTGTGTATAAAATAATTTCATATAGACATCTATTAGATCACCAGTGCTATGCATGTTTTGCTGATATTTACCAGAAAAGAAGAATTCCAGTTTTGTAAATAGTGATTATTTTATATTTAATTGACAAATCTATGGTAGCAATGAAAAAAATGATTTCTCTGTATCTGTCTCAAACAGTCAAACCCCTGCTGAAAGACCACTTTTGTTTAGGTCTATAAAGTGGTATCTTAAAGTTTGCATGAAATAATGAAAATTTACTTTTTAATAAAATATTGCCTTTTTTAAGAGACTAGATATGTTAAGATACCCCTGTTGAGACTACAACTACAGTTCTTTCTTGCAATTTGAATTTCAATGTGGTCTCTTAACAAAGGTGGTTTCTCAATAAAGTTGGTATCTTTAAAGGGATGGTCTCTTAACAGAGGTAGTTGTTCAGCAATGATGTTTTAAACAATGAGAGTCTCCCAACAAAAGTTGTCCCTATACAGCAATCTGACTAGATTTACTTTTTAAAACACCTGGTATTTTGTCGCAAAAAAATCCAAGTGTAGATTGAACTTATTTGTTTATTTTCATTTAACTTAAACAACCCTGCATAATCCACCCAGGTTGTCTACTGCTGGCAGAGTTTTATCATTTTCAGTATAGAGTTGTCCCATGTTATCATAGCTGAGCTATAGTTACTATTTCATAAATGTGTTATATGAATGATTTGGTGCAATAAGTACAATTAATGTTCTTTCAATATACAAAACAGGTCCGTTTTTATATCCATTGTTTAAATGTCTTCAGAAACCTAACAAGCCACATGCAGGAAGAGTTCACGGTAACTTGGGTTATTTTTTTTTAATTCAGAATATGTAAAAAGAAAAACATAGAAATCAGCTAACGTGTTTTGATGTATACATGTGTTTCATGTCATTTGCATCAGTGATTTTTTGAAGATTTTTTCAAGCAAGTCCAGAACACCAATTTCAAAAAAATTAGAAGTTCCAATACTTGAGGATAAAATTAGCTCTCAAAATCTGAGCGAGTCCTACAGGAAAAGCATGGGTCTTTACTCAAATATCCGAGTCCCACCAATCACAAGCGCATGTCAAAATAACAAAAGAGGTGTTTATATTAGAATTTATGATACTCACCTTGACCTTGGCAAAGTTCAAGATCATTAGGAGGGGGCAAGGAGGCTGTTGGTCAAAGGTCATACAAAGAATGACAGTGCTATTCTGATCAATAGATTTTGATATGAAATTTGCTAGATTTGTGTAACTTCTCTATTCAACTCTCACATTTTATTTCAAGGATCATGACTAATGGTAAGGGGTCAAAGGTCAAAGGTTATAGAAAATCAACAGAATTTCATAATATTTAAATCATTATCCCCTCAGGGCGTTAGAACTAGACATGAATATTTTATTTTGTAACAATGTAAATTTTGTGACATTGTAAGATTTTCATGTCCTGTCCATTTTATAAACATTATGAAATTGATATTTTTTGCTTATTCAGAATAAACATCTACACACTTGGACATGCACTATCATTTAAAACCACTGACCCTTTTTTCTAACTGTCAAGACTCAAAATATGATTGAGGTTGCTGAAAGGGACACATTAGTTAAATAGTATAAGATTAAGATTATATATCTGCCAAACTATAGTGAAGAACAGGTATATTCAGTTTGACACAACTTTCCAGGAAAATTCATGTCAGTTTTCATGTCATTTATAGGTAACTAAAATAAAAAAGGAAATTTAACAGATTGAGTGTATTATTCCTTCCTTTTCTTTTATTGAACAAATATGTATCAAGAAAAGAGCTTCACCAGATTTGATGAAGTGTGCTGATATAAATGGAGTTCTGCAGATTTTCAACTGAATGGACATTTAATTAAGATTATGTCAAATGAACTATATGTTTGTTAAAACTAATTTGAAGATTTTCAATAAAGATAAAGGTGTTAATATATTTATGATAGCACCTCCCTGAAGCGCTTTTGTCAAAGATAAAAAAGATAGGGAGTGGAGTTTATTTATGCCTAGAATCATATTTGGCAGGAAGGTTCGTTGCATTCGGCTTGACAATTTTTCAAAAAGAAATGGCCTTGACCTATACTCCGGATTATAAAGGTCAAAACTGAGACAATGAACAGCATCTAATACAAAAGGCCAAGAATAAGATTTAAAGGGTAGGTTTCTGTAGTGAATATTGATAATGTTTGGAAAAAGAAATCACCTTCAAGGTGACAGGGGTCACGTTTGCCAAAACTTTCTGATGACATCGCTTGTCAAAGTGTTTGTGAAAAGCATTGAATATCAGATAAGTGAGGCAGCCCACTGGGTCTTTTGTTTTTTTTTATTTAACTTAACAATTACCATCAACTTGAAGATGATTAATTCTGATTTATACATTTTGTATCCAATAATGCTGCTGTAGGGGCTGGTTGGTCAAAATATTTTGATTTTGTCTGAACAGTATCAAGGCATAATAACATCAATGATTTGATAACTCACAACATCTTTTGTTTTGGGATCATGAAGTGTTTCTTTTCATTTTACCCATTTTGATTATGAAAAAGTTTACTGTGAATACACAGAATTCAAATCCATCAGCCTTCTATAAAATTTGTTTTAGATCTGGTGTATATCATAGCCCGTCTTATTGTTTCTATGGTCCTATTAACAGCCAATGTCATTTCAGGAGATACCAGGTATGGTGGTGGATGAAAGCCATAGTTCTCAGAGATAAACCACCAACCTGCTGCCAGTTTCTTGTAACTGTCTAATGGAGGACTCAAACATGGAGCCATAGGTGGAGCCTTAGCGATTTGACCAACATGGCTCCCTCCTTCTTAACTGTAAATGTGTCCTCATGTAATTGTGTGTCCCTCTGTTCTTGTACTTAACTGCTGCCAGAAGATTTTGGACAAAACAGTTCCGGTGTGTGAATTTTGTGCGGAAACCTTCCAAACAAATGTTTAAACCTCATCAAGTGATCTCTGAATCTTCTGTTTCAAACTTTCATTCTGACAATTTTACACAAAAACCAAAAACAGCTTATTTCTATACAGACCATAATATCTAGCAGAAACGACACAATTGGTATGAGTTTCATTAGAAGAGAATCACTATAATGAAAACTAATCATTCCATTGAACAAAGAAATCCATAAACAGATAGATGAAAGTACCTTTGCATTCTCTCTTTCTTGGCTCTCTCTCTTCAGTTGTGTCAGTCTTGACACTGTTAGCAATTAATTTGTATACATAGGTGACCTGTACAGCAGGGGTGACCTGACACTCAGTTATCATGGTGGTACTTTTTAACTGACCATTGAATGACCCGCCACCGTTTGTGGACACTGTCCAGATGACCCGATACAATAATTTGTTATTAGCATTGCAAGGACACAGCCACATGAACTGATGTGACCATTAATACTTTATGAATCCATTCCTCAAACCAAACTACATTTCTTTCTTCTCATTTATCATCTTAAAAAATGAATATAATTGATTCCAATGCTTTATTTCTTAGTCTACGTCTTTTTATAGGTATTGCTTAATTTGATGGATGTTCAAGGGAGTGAAAGGGGGCAAGGATGTGGTGGCTTGGCTTAGGGGAAAGGGGGGAGGGGGAGGATGTGGTGGCTTGGCTGAGGGGAAAGGGGGGGGGGCGAGGATGTGGTGGCTTGGCTGAGGGGAGAGGGGGGCGAGGATGTGGTGGCTTGGCTGAGGGGGAGGGGGGCGAGGATGTGGTGGCTTGGCTGAGGGGGGAGGGCAAGGATGTGGTGGCTTGGCTGAGGGGAAAGGGGGGGGGGGGGCGAGGATGTGGTGGCTTGACTGAAGGGGGAGGGGGGGCGAGGATGTGGTGGCTTGGCTGAGGGGGGCAAGGATGTGGTGGCTTGGCTGAGGGGGAAGGGGGGGCAAGGATGTGGTGGCTTGGCTGAGGGGGGAGGGGGGGCGAGGATGTGGTGGCTTGGCTTAGGGGGGAGTGGGGTGGGCGAGGATTTGGTGGCTTGACTGAGGGGGGAGGGGGACACTGGAGTCAGTGAAGAGTGAAGATTTTCTGTTTTGTACACCATAATAAAATATCATTCAAGTGTCATTTCTATACATCATGGCATACTAAAATATTGCACCTGTTTACAGTACATATCTCATTTGATCAGTTTACTTACAAATTAAAATAGGAAGCTGCCCAGAACACACCATCAAACAGTAAAATGTTCACATTTTAACACCAAAAGATTTATATAAACTGTGACTAAATACGTCCTTTGGAAGTGGTTCTGTAATAATCCATTACAAGGATAATAGTTTAGAAAATATCATCACAAGAATATATATAATTATCATCAAAATCGAATTCATCGATACAAAGTGAGCTCAATTCAATTGGATTAAAAATATGTGTGTAGATTCGTGTGTTTCCACTGAAAATGAGCGAATGCTGTTTGAATCGGAAATATCTAGGAGGTCAACAGAGAGTGCCATTTTAATGAAATGTTGTGATGGATTGATACATTTATATGATAACCGTCATTATCCGACATCAGAATAGGACAGTTCTTTTTCCCTGCATTATGAATGCAATGTAATGCCGAGCGTTTTGAAAACAAAATGCACCACCTTCCTGAACGCCTAACTGTGAAGTGTGAATGGGTATCATTAGAAAGAGAAGAAGCAGTTCGAGATCAAGTGTTAACAAACTTAGCCGCGCGTACGATCATGAAAAGGTAAAATAGTTTCGTTATAGACAGGTGGTCGCATTGGATAGGGGTTTATACAAACTATATACCAGTGTTTATCTATTTTGTATGGACATTTACGTTTATATTACTAACGTGTTTTTAATTCGTTCGTCTCGTCCATCAAATGTCTTACATACACATGAACACTGCTATATGTGTTTCGAAACCTCGCTGGCGGCGATATCGTCAATAATATTTGGACGAGGTCAGCTCGGCGGACTTGTTGACAGAAACAGTCTGGCTTGACGCGGAGGAAAATGCCATTCAGAAATTTTTCAAATGCATATGTATTTTTTTAAAATTACGAACCAAATAATTGACGTAAATGGTAAAAAATTATCGTTTACTTTGGGTTTTAAATACTATTGAACTAAAATTGATACTTTAACATCGGGGAACAACTCAAAACGCACACATTGTAAATGTCCACATACCTAGAATACACATCTAGTATCACGTGATCTGTCCGCAATATGATTACTCCAGTGCGTTAGGAACTCATATAAACTAAGTTCTTAGCAAACAAATTTCCGAGTATGTGGTATATTTAATTTTAAAACAAACAGTATGTCCGGTTAAGACTAAGCGTGCCTTCAAATGATGAAAACACGTATGATACACTACACATGATGTGACGTCACGAAAGGGCTCTGCACGTGCGACATCACACTTCATCTTTGTTGTTTCATGGTTGTTTAAAAATAAAATACATTTTAGAATTGCGAAACAAGTCGTCCAATTTATATCAATCACGCTTGTCGGTCCGGATGTCATGTGGGAGGAAACCCGTAGTGCCCTGAGAAAACCCACGTGGTCGGGCTGGCGAGAGTCTTCCTTTTTTCGTCCGTTCAGGGAGTAGAATTCCGGACGGACAGGTGAAGGGTGGGTGCGTTATCAATGGCGATTTTCGTTTTGGCAGTAACCAAGATCATTTTACTTTCGTTTCATGTTTGATATAGGCGGGCTTCTGTAGCTGCTGGAGTTTTATACGCATGCGCACAAACAGGTGAATTACGAAATATAGGACATACTGGACTATTACTCCGGCGGATCTCCCGACAGCCACGGACTTGGATAAGGACAATGGTAGGAATTTATACATATCTTTTTTCTTTTTTCTTGTTGCTATATGAATATACAACTTCGTACTGTAGAAAACTTTGACGCTATTATATCATCGCTGATGATTCATTGTCCTCGAATCAGCGTTTTGAAAAGTTGGGTAAAAGTGTAAAAATGCGAGTACATATATATATGCGCATTTACAAATGCATGTCTGTACGTCAGTGGCAGGAAGTGCATACAACATCGCATGATTTAAATTAGATTTATCACAAGAATGGGCATGAATCGACGAAGAAAATAATTATTCTTCGCCTATACTTTTTAAATTACAATCAAAATATGTGAAGAAATACTCACCTAGTGAGGAAAGGTACCTCGTTACGTGTAATAAAGCATTAGATGTATAATGGGACGACGTGAAAACAAAAACAACAAAATTTCCTAGTGACCACTGCCCTACTGCAGATTTCTTATCTATCTTATTTCTATATATTGCTGTGCCTAAGGGAGATTCTTTATGATTAATGCTGTTGATTTAATGCAGAAACACGTCATAGCCAGCTGATAGCACTTTTACTATAACACGGTGTAGTAGTGTGTATATATGTATGAGGGCTGATTGAGCTGAGATTTACAAGCTCATATCTGACTTTTTGGAAGTCATTTTGTAACATTTGTGATGAACGTAATCCTCTTCAGTGTTTAGACACTTTCACCTGCGATATTGAATGGCTTCAATGGTTAGCTCTTAAGTCCTTCAATACAAGGCTTAAAACTTTCCCATCTTCATTACTAGAGCCAGAGATGTCTCTGCTTTAGAACCTGTATATAGATGTATTTATGCAATTTAAACCGCACCTTGGCGATAAGAAAAGAGATTAACCGTTGAAAACCTGTGGAGTGAAACAAACTTCCTGTAAATGACTTTTTTCACAATGGCATTTTGTTGATTCTACGTAAAATGTTTAGACTTCCTTTAGCAGAAAATGTCAATTATGGAGAAGCAGTTGCACGAATTGTGTTTTTTTAATCAATATTGCCACCCACGTTAGTCACACAGGAGTGGGAAGGGATGACATCTTTTGAATTATAACTGACATTGCGTCATACTGGAGAGAAATATAATATTGTGAAAAAACGCCCTTTAATGTTTTCAAGCATTCCGGGACAGTGGGATACTTGTTCCCGCGGTCTGTCATTTAGGCAACAGTCTTCGACACGTACTCTTGGGTATTGGCAGAGGTCAAGGACGAGTCAACAGCAAATCAGGTCAAAATAGACTTGATACCTAGCGGTTTCGTTCCTGAACCAGGAACTTATCTGTTATTACCTAACAGACAGGTATTATTTCTCTGTAACCATATTGATACAGTCCTAAGGTATTTTTAAAGTATACGTTTGTATTTTGGTTGTCTGTGGTATAATTTAACACTTTACTGAGGTCCTATACCGGTCGTGATATTGTGTTTGTGTTGTCTGTGGTATAATTTAACACTTTACTGAGGTCCTATACCGGTCGTGATATTGCCTTGTGTTGTCTGTGGTATAATTGAACACTTTACTGAGGTCCTATACCGGTCGTGATATTGCCTTGTGTTGTCTGTGGTATAATTTAACACTTTACTGAGGTCCTATACCGGTCGTGATATTGTCTTGTGTTGTCTGTGGTATAATTTAACACTTTACTGAGGTCCTATACCGGTCGTGATATTGTCTTGTGTTGTCTGTGGTATAATTGAACACTTTACTGAGGTCCTATACCGGTCGTGATATTGCCTTGTGTTGTCTGTGGTATAATTGAACACTTTACTGAGGTCCTATAATATTGCCTTGTGTTGTCTGTGGTATAATTTAACACTTTACTGAGGTCCTATACCGGTCGTGATATTGTCTTGTGTTGTCTGTGGTATAATTTAACACTTTACTGAGGTCCTATACCGGTCGTGATATTGTCTTGTGTTGTCTGTGGTATAATTTAACACTTTACTGAGGTCCTATACCGGTCGTGATATTGTCTTGTGTTGTCTGTGGTATAATTTAACACTTTACTGAGGTCCTATACCGGTCGTGATATTGTCTTGTGTTGTCTGTGGTATAATTGAACACTTTACTGAGGTCCTATACCGGTCGTGATATTGCCTTGTGTTGTCTGTGGTATAATTGAACACTTTACTGAGGTCCTATACCGGTCGTGATATTGCCTTGTGTTGTCTGTGGTATAATTTAACACTTTACTGAGGTCCTATACCGGTCGTGATATTGTCTTGTGTTTGTGTTGTCTGTGGTATAATTTAACACTTTACTGAGGTCCTATACCGGTCGTGATATTGTCTTGTGTTGTCTGTGGTATAATTTAACACTTTACTGAGGTCCTATACCGGTCGTGATATTGTCTTGTGTTTGTGTTGTCTGTGGTATAATTTAACACTTTACTGAGGTCCTATACCGGTCGTGATATTGTCTTGTGTTTGTGTTGTCTGTGGTATAATTTAACACTTTACTGAGGTCCTATACCGGTCGTGATATTGTCTTGTGTTTGTGTTGTCTGTGGTATAATTGAACACTTTACTGAGGTCCTATACCGGTCGTGATATTGTCTTGTGTTTGTGTTGTCTGTGGTATAATTGAACACTTTACTGAGGTCCTATACCGGTCGTGATATTGTCTTGTGTTGTCTGTGGTATAATTTAACACTTTACAGAGGTCCTATACCGGTCGTGATATTGTCTTGTGTTGTCTGTGGTATAATTTAACACTTTACTGAGGTCCTATACCGGTCGTGATATTGTCTTGTGTTTGTGTTGTCTGTGGTATAATTTAACACTTTACTGAGGTCCTATACCGGTCGTGATATTGTCTTGTGTTGTCTGTGGTATAATTGAACACTTTACTGAGGTCCTATACCGGTCGTGATATTGTCTTGTGTTTGTGTTGTCTGTGGTATAATTTAACACTTTACTGTGGTCCTATACCGGTCGTGATATTGCCTTGTGTTGTCTGTGGTATAATTTAACACTTTACTGAGGTCCTATACCGGTCGTGATATTGTCTTGTGTTGTCTGTGGTATAATTTAACACTTTACTGAGGTCCTATACCGGTCGTGATATTGTCTTGTGTTGTCTGTGGTATAATTTAACACTTTACTGTGGTCCTATACCGGTCGTGATATTGTCTTGTGTTGTCTGTGGTATAATTGAACACTTTACTGAGGTCCTATACCGGTCGTGATATTGTCTTGTGTTGTCTGTGGTATAATTTAACACTTTACTGTGGTCCTATACCGGTCGTGATATTGTCTTGTGTTTGTGTTGTCTGTGGTATAATTTAACACTTTACTGAGGTCCTATACCGGTCGTGATATTGTCGTGTGTTTGTATTTCGTTTGTCTGACAGAGGAGGATTGTTTTCCAGCTAGGACCATCCATGTGACTCTATCTCGCTTGTTTGGTACAGCAAAGAAGTACTGCTAGTCCTGTAATCCAAGCTTTTTATCGTCTTAGTGGGCACATACAGTTATTGGACGAGATTCTCCGACCGATACCTTATTAGTAAGGGCTATTCTCGAGGGTGCTAAAAGACCGATACCTTATTAGTAAGGGCTATTCTCGAGGGTGCTAAATGACCGATACCTAATAAGTTAGGATTATTCTCGAGGGTGCTAAAAGACCGATACTTTATTAGTGAGGGTTATTCTCGAGGGGCGCTAAATGACTGATACCTAATAAGTGAGGATTATTCTCGGGGGTGTTAAAAGACCGATACCTTATAAATGAGGAATATTCTATAAGGCGCTAACAGATGTTTGTAGGTACCATGGTAGAGGAAGGGCCCTATCACTCCAAAACTCTATGTACACAGCAAATTTTAGTAACAATGATGTGTATTATCAACGTTCAATTTGTTGTTGTTTAACTGCATATGTTGGTTTTGAGCGGGTATCAGAATTACTTAGTTTAAGTATACGTGATACGTTTTATCCGACAAAGCATGATCGATACTTGTCGGGACGTGGATTACGTCGTGGAAATCAGACAACGCGAGAGACGGTTACGTCAATGATTCCTTAGGGGAAAGGCTCTATATATGTTTTTAAGAATTTAGGTATTTAAAGTTATCGTTGTTTGTCACGATTGCAGGACTTAGGTGAACATGTTTACTTTATATCCCAATTGTATGGTGTAGTGTCACACAGTGTATCGACTCGGCGATCTTCAATCAGGTAATGTTCATGTACCACGCCTAGTCGCTGTAGTATTACCGCCATTTGTGTTAACAGAATAAAGTAAGGTAAATTTCACGAACCACGTTAGGCTGGTCTGGTGTTTCCACAGTGTGTTAACAGAATTACGATAAAGTGAGGTAATTTTCATGTACCTCGCTAGGCTGGTCTGGTATAACCACACCGTGTGTTAACATACTTTCGCAAAAATGAGGTAATTTTTATGTGCCTCGCTAGGCTGGTCTGGTGTAACAACACCGTGTGTTAACAAAATTTCGCAAAAATGAGGTAATTTTTATGTACCTCGCTAGGCTGGTCTGGTGTAACAACACTGAGTGTTAAAATTCCGCAAAAATGAGGTAATTTTCATGTGCCTCGCTAGGCTGGTCTGGTATAACCACACTTTGTGTTAACAAAATTTCGCAAAAATGAGGTAATTTTCATGTGCCTCGCTAGGCTGGTCTGGTGTAACAACACTGTGTGTTAAAATTTCGCAAAAATGAGGTAATTTTCATGTGCCTCGCTAGGCTGGTCTGGTGTAACAACACTGTGTGTTAAAATATCGCAAAAATGAGGTAATTTTCATGTGCCTCGCTAGGCTGGTCTGGTGTAACAACACTGTGTGTTAACAGGATTACGTTAAAGAGAGGTAATTTTCATGTACCTCGCTAGGCTGGTCTGGTATAACCACACCGTGTGTTAACATACTTTCGCAAAAATGAGGTAATTTTCATGTGCCTCGCTAGGCTGGTCTGGTGTAACCACACCGTGTGTTAACAAAATTTCGCAAAAATGAAGTAATTTTTATGTACCTCGCTAGGCTGGTCTGGTGTAACAACACTGAGTGTTAAAATTCCGCAAAAATAAGGTAATTTTCATGTGCCTCGCTAGGCTGGTCTGGTATAACCACACTTTGTGTTAACAAAATTTCGCAAAAATGAGGTAATTTTCATGTGCCTCGCTAGGCTGGTCTGGTGTAACAACACTGTGTGTTAAAATTTCGCAAAAATGAGGTAATTTTCATGTGCCTCGCTAGGCTGGTCTGGTGTAACAACACTGTGTGTTAAAATATCGCAAAAATGAGGTAATTTTCATGTGCCTCGCTAGGCTGGTCTGGTGTAACCACACTGTGTGTTAAAATTTCGCAAAAATGAGGTAATTTTCATGTGCCTCGCTAGGCTGGTCTGGTGTAACAACACTGTGTGTTAACAGGATTACGTTAAAGAGAGGTAATTTTCATGTACCTCGCTAGGCTGGTCTGGTATAACCACACCGTGTGTTAACATACTTTCGCAAAAATGAGGTAATTTTCATGTGCCTCGCTAGGCTGGTCTGGTGTAACCACACTGTGTGTTAACAAAATTTCGCAAAAATGAAGTAATTTTCATGTACCTCGCTAGGCTGGTCTGGTGTAACCACACTGTGTGTTAACAAAATTTCGCAAAAATGAGGTAATTTTCATGTGCCTCGCTAGGCTGGTCTGGTGTAACCACACCGTGTGTTAACAAAATTTCGCAAAAATGAAGTAATTTTCATGTGCCTCGCTAGGCTGGTCTGGTGTAACAACACTGTGTGTTAAAATTTCGCAAAAATGAGGTAATTTTCATGTGCCTCGCTAGGCTGGTCTGGTGTAACCACACTGTGTGTTAACAAAATTTCGCAAAAATGAGGTAATTTTCATGTGCCTCGCTAGGCTAGTCTGGTGTAACAACACTGTGTGTTAAAATTTCGCAAAAATGAAGTAATTTTCATGTGCCTCGCTAGGCTGGTCTGATGTAACCACACTGTGTGTTAAAATTTCGCAAAAATGAGGTAATTTTCATGTGCCTCGCTAGGCTGGTCTGGTGTAACAACACTGTGTGTTAACAGGATTACGTTAAAGAGAGGTAATTTTCATTTACCTCGCTAGGCTGGTAAGGTGATTTTCATGGACCTGTCTGATTGGGTATTGTCACTCTGTTTACTTACCCATTTTCTCTGAAGTGTGGTGTTGTGTTACCATTTTGTCTTCATTGTGACATTTACTGCTCTAATAAATACCGTGTTTAGATATATCGTTATCAAACTTCCTTGCTATGTAAACTTTTGTTTTCGTTAACGTGTGCATCTCATTTAGTATTTTTGTGTGATATTACAATTATGTCAAATTGGATTTGAGTGTGTGTACCTCACTTTGTCTATACCACGGTATGACAGAACACATTTGTATCTCGCAATGTATGTGAAAATTCAAATTTTCAAATTTTAGATCTATGTACCGATCAATCTTTGGCGACAGGCTACTCAGAAATTTGTTTCATCCTCATTTTCAATTTCGGTAGAATTTGGCTACTTCCCGCACTTGTTTCAAAAGCTACCTCGCTTTTTAATGTAAACAGGTGTGTTTGAGGGTGTGTGTATAACAATATTATAGTATCCACATTGCGATACTACTTAGTGACGTCCTTCAGGCATATCTCTTCACCTTTTTTGCCTGTGTCGCTAGCCACGGAACGGAGCTGGGTGACGTTGAGACTGAAACATTGGTGTTTTGGTCGAAATTCAATAAAGTATATTATACCCTATAATTAGTAAAGGGGGTATACATGAATAGAACTCGCCTTTTTTTGCGTCCGTTCGTCTGTCAATAACATAAAGTTGTGTAATTGGGTACTCCGATCTCCTCCCATAGGAAGACCCCTCGCACGCTTCCGTCCGGGCTAACGAGAGTGAATAAGCTGGGGGAAAAACTCGCTTCGCAAATGTTGTAAAATATATAAAGTTTATTTATTTATAAATACAATTACTAAGGACTGTCCGACTTCATGTAACGTTGATGATTTCAACTCGTTCCTGACAGGCGATAGTCATTCAGATCCTGGCAATAGTGATTTGCTTCCTTCCTGCGCCGTCTCGAGGGTTCGGAATGGGACCACCTTTGGGCGCATGCGTGGATATGTGGCCAAAAGCACATGGAGCGGACTCGCAGACATCGGATCCGCCATACACAATCACCGTGAGCAAGGACACGTACACCCCCGGAGAGACCCTCACAGGTATATAATGATAAAACACACTGTGTAGACCCTCATACGTATGTTATAAAAGTACCCTAATGGGGCCCTCACAGTACTGTATGTAAAAGTGTAACACCCAATGGACAGCCTCATAGATATATATACCCACATGAAGACCCTCAAATGTATGTTATAACACTTGATGGAGACCCTCATGTGTATTTTAATGATACATTTTCCCAAAGGAGACCCTCAAAAGTATGATATGATATAATACTTTATGGAGACCCTCATATGTACATCATAATGGTAAAATCCCCCCGTGGAGACCCTCACATGTACATCATAATGATAAAATCCCCCCGTGGAGACCCTCACATGTACATCATAATGATAAAATTCCCCCATGGAGACCCTAAAATGTTATTATACTTCACAAAGACCCACATATGTATGTCGAAATGATGTTGGATAACAGCATGGAGACACAAGTACGTTATGATAAAATACCATATTTGATTTCCAATATGCTATAAGGAAGAAACAGAAATGACGAAAAGAAATTACCTTCGCCAACACCCAAGGTCTTATGAGTCACATTTGTTAAAACACTTCATTACCTTCACCAGAACATTGATTTAGATTGATCCGTGGAATGTAGAGACACAATAGGTATCTTGCAGTGACTGTCAGTTATGAACCGTTGAAACCTTATATCATTCAATGGGTTTTGGCGAATGATACAAGCAGTGTATCGTATACAGACGTAATTTATTCTTTAAATATATGCCTTTATCAAAGTTAAATTACATTTCGCAGTGGTGGTGAATACGACGATAAACAAAGATATCAAGTTCTTTGAAGGTCTGTTGCTACAAGCCAGACGAGCAAACTGTTCACATACACATTTTGAGGAGGCGGTTGGAACCTTCAACCTTCCAGCGGATGAAACATTCCTCGGCCTACTTAATTGCCAAGGAGGACGCAACGTACGTAATGGCCGGGGATAACGTTTTCGTAGGTTTAAAATTGTACGGGGAAAGCATACCTACTCCTACCGAAAATGGGACATTTACCTCCAGATATAAAGTAGAATACTAGATTTTTACGTGTATATTCTGGAAAATTACAATTGATTCACAGATTTCCTGAACGATCTGTCTTTTAATTTTTCCCTTTTTTTCGAAGAGAAATTCTCAAATTTAAAATTCCCGACAAAAACGTGAATAATGCCGACATTTTGACTCATGGAAATGGAAATGTCCTGTAATGTTTTGTTAGCACGGCGTTTATTGTTCCAATTTTTTAATTCGTTGGTTCGTTAAATTGAGAACACTGATTTGCATTTTTCAAGCCAAAAAGATTGGCTTCATGAGACAGCGTACCGGGAGTTTTAATTCTGAGCTGTGATGTTAAACAGGATTACATAGGGATTGAAAATAAACCACAGATAAGTCAGAAAATGACCACTCTTGATTAACACTGCATTGAATTTGAATCTTGTACTTGTCATGTAAAGGTGTCTTTGAAGCTAATTGATAGAGATTCAGTGTCTAATTTCGCTGACAAATGAGAGTCCAACTAACTGAAATTTTACAACAATAGTCTGGCGACAGTTCTAGAGCATGGTATGTAGTGAATCATATACCAAAGTAAAGAAAAAATATTTATCAGTCGATTCAGACCACTCCTAGCGAGATGCTGTATCATGAACGGTTTAATGACCATCACGAGTTTCCTGGAATTGGTTATTTTCGGAAAACTAATAGAGTTACGAACTTCGTTTAGTATGATTTTACCAACAGACGAGGCTAGTACCTATGTGAGAAGTCTATTGAACGCTTAAATATTCGATTCTGTGTTTAAGTTGTAATACTTTTCACTTTCTTATATACCATTTTATTCTATACAATTGAGTGTATTGTGGTACCCTTACACTAGATCACCAAGCTAATTGATCAATTTATCATTGTTTACACACTAGAGAACAGCAACTTTGGTAGAGACTGATACTCTACTATTATCTGGCCCCTTATCTAAATTCAACAAAAACATTCGTCTTCACTGTACCATGATGAAGCTTTACTAATTACACGCACTTACATTTCAGAGTGCAGTGGGACACATTGCACATGCGCATATCGTAGATAGAACCTTCACGTGGACAGCTCCGGATGCGTCCGTTGGTCATGTCTACTTCCGGTATGTAACACTTATTGTTTTCTAGCACCTGTATTGTTCTCAACGTTCTCTACTTAATGTAACATATTTGATATGGAATTTCTTTATGTACAGAGCCACAGTTGCTAGGAGACAGACGACATTCTGGACTCAAGTGACGTCAGATTTCGTCCGGGATGTTTCAGAATCCTCTTCTCCAAGTATCTGTCCGATACAAACCAAACGGTCGACTGACACCACGTGTACTAACTCGGCTTCATTGAAGGAACCGTCACGTTGTTTAATTCTTCTCGTTATGATGCTATGGACATCTCACTTCTGAATCCGACAAAAGTGCAGTTGTCTTGTAATGACTTTGGCCTGGAGAAGAACTGTTGTGATGTTTGTATTGATGTTTATGATGATGTGTCATTTTTTTGTTTTATTATTTTATTGTCTTTAATGTGAATGTATACCTTTTCGTAGCTTTTTAATGTCTTTAAAACTACCAGACATAATATAATATTACGCTGCCAAATCATTGCTTTTGCATAACACTATTACCATATCATCTCTGGGGACTTGAATTTATTGGTTTTCAATCAATTTCTATTTCATGGACACTGGTATTCGTAGATAACCATAGATCATTGAGTCTACTTATACTTATTGTGATCAGTGCGTGGATATATTAATGTCATTGAATGAAGGGCCTCGACAAAGATAACTGTAAATAAATCCTCCACTAAAAGTTAATTTTTTTACAGTTTGTTTCAGGGATTCTGTGAGGCAGCTAACATTTCAAAAATGTCTCTGATTAAACTGATTTGAAGCCGTTGCCTATCACCTTGGGATATGTAAATTTATGTATTTCAATAGAATAATAACGCAAAATGCTAACTTTCGATTATGTCTACTTGTCGCCTCTTTCGTATTAATTTCATTGGAGGATTTCAACACGGAGCGAGAAATGAGAATAAATTCATTCAAATGCAAACTAGAATTATAATCTGGAAATTTCATTCCAGAAATGCAAGCGTATAGAATGTTATTGTTTAGGAAAATGTACAATTTACATTGTTTTTCCGGTATGTATAAGTGGCACTAATGCTACGCAATATAGTACATGTCTAATGGAAAATGCAAATATTGAATTAGAATACTATATGTATTTTACGATCTTCCTAGATTTTATATTTTCAAGGAAACCCGCTTTCAAGTTGATTTTTTTGTTAAAATGTATCGTTCCTGTAGCAGATTTATTAAAAGAGTCAATACATTTGTACATTTTAATAACATCATACATTACAGTACAAGTATCTGGTTCTACTTTTTAATAGCTTTCAGTTATGGATTATGTCATAGCACCAAATATTCGCCGTTGTAACCAGTAGTTAATCAGACGAATTAATGTTAAATGTGTTCCTGATTATGTTCAAGGTTTTAAAAACAAAAAAAGACAAATCCCTTGTTGGTTGCTAAAAATCTCTCCTGACATTAATCATTTATTGACATCTAAACTAAACCTTGGATATGATATGATTAAATTCCATCATACTTGTAATTGCCTATATATTGTGTCATAAACGTAGGAAACAAAATCATGTGAACTCTGAAAAAAATATTGCGCTACATATATGTGGTATCACCGCTCTCCATCCATGAATGTAGATCAATGCAGTCATAACACCATTGGTAAAAACAATTGATATTTCGTTCGTGTCTTGATAATATAACAATTTCTCAATAATAGCAGCATTTTTTATTCAACAATGTTTTTCTTCGGTATGTACAGTACATAAATGTATAGAAAATAAATGCGAAAAGAAAGTATAAACACTTTCAAAAACGTAAACAAGTAAATGACAAAGAAAAAAGAAGGTGACACAGTTGCGATATATACCACTTTTTAGTTTTATACGATACTTCGTATTAAAATTTAGATTTATGTTTTTCATTGTGAAATGAAGATTTAAGTAGTGACTTCATCATTATTCAATTTCCTCACACATAAACTGTTAAGGAATACTTATATGCAGCTAGGGGGATTGTTAGTATGGATATATTGTAAATAACATGTATGTTGATTCTAAAATTAGGCTTAAGATGTATTTTGTAACAAGAAATTATTAAATACTAATGAAAATGTCGATGTTTCTTTTCCTTTACCGTCACAGTATCACGAAAACAAAATTATAATAATTTATGAAATAAAAAATTCATTATCCAAATCATTAAGAGACATATTTACAGTATCTACAATTATAGGGGGCTGGATTTTGGCTTTCCAAGGTATAATGACAAGTTAAAATCAGAAGCCCCATTCCTGACTCTGATCTTTAGTTATTATGGATCAGTATTCTCAGAACCAAGCCACATAATGTATATCAGGTATAAGCAATAATCATTCATTTGTAAGTTGAAGACTTCACAAGCAAAATTGTAATTTTACAATGCTTGCGAATAAATTGTATTCAACAGAAAATATATGCAATAGATATATGCCGTTGTGTTGATGTATTTGAAGTAAGGATTCTCTTATAAGTGGTATATCAATATTATCTACATATGAACATAGGTAAAAAATGTATATTTAATATCATATATATGTAATGAACGACATTAAAATGATTAGAAAGCCAACGTTATATAGAGATGTATTTGCATTTTTTTTTTTTTTTTTTTTTGAAATATCTTTATATAAAATTCATTTTTTTTCTGGACCATTTTCATTGTACAGACCAATCAATACAGAGTATATCATTATTTTAACTGAACATATGTCAAATGCAAATAATATTAGATAACGATAAAATAATGATAAATATTCCCAGAAAAAATCACAATTTCCTGACCCGTTAAAAAAATTAAAATATAAAAAAAAAATATAATCAAAATAATTTTACAAAATTATCATAACACAATGACATAATATAATTTTTAAACCGATCATGATACTTTTGAAATCATCAGTCTCATGGTTAACTATAATATTTGACAGAGACAAATATTTGAATCACGGTTATATTTTTCGTAAGGAGTGGCAATCGCAAACTCAATTTCATTCCATCTCGTATGTACATTTGTGAAATGAAGTTTTCTATTATTGCATGTTTTTAAATCATTACAAATGTGTCGCAGCAAGAACGACACCGCGAAAATAAGTCTTTGAGAAAACGAAATTGTTTTCAGTATGTTCTTCGTCTTGCTCCTTTAAGTAGTGGACTTCCTATTCTGTTTCACATATTGGCTCAAAACCTTGTAACAGAATTGATATTGCTCCTGGAAAGTAACAAACAAGAAGATAACATTCTGCCAGATTTATTTGATGATTTAAATTGAAAATATTTCATCCGAAGTTCGCTTAATTTCTGGTATAAATCATTTAAAACGCCGAAAAACAAAATCAAAATGCTTGTCAAACTTCGATTTCTCAACTTTGTCATAAACAAAAGTCGTAATCATGTTTGACCTCTATGACCTCTGTGACATAGTGAGTTTAACGTGCAAGCAATATATGAAATATATTGATAAATATCACCTACTCGAGCTGGTACTGGGTATGAATTTGATAAAGGGAGCTAATCCTATCTAGCCTATCTATACATTCTAGTATTTTAGTAAAATAATGGTACTCACAAAAGATTGAATTGCGCCCGGTTTTCGAATAAGAATCTCCCTCACTATATCAAATACGTCCACCAGTTGGTCCAAAGATATTTTCTGTATTAGGGACGCTATTACACAGAATGGCACGCATTTGCTTTGTCCATCCCTGAATTACGTACAATGTTATCTTATGTTACTCTGAAGCAGCATATATAAGACTTTCCTACATGTAATCTTACCTATGTTAAATCTGAATGGTAACAAGTCAGTGTAGTTTTTATTGAAAATGAGATGATTATTTTTTATTTTATTTTTATTTCACTCCAATATACCTACCGTGTATGAAAAGCGTCTACAATGAAGCAGATTACTAATACAGACAGATATGTCTGTTCATTAAATGTACGATAATGAGATGCAGGTCACCATTGAATATTTTGCAGACATTTTTCTTGACAATTTTTTTATATAAGTAAGTTATAAGCGGAACCAGGTGACCTTAAAACCTCGCTTACCTATTAAACATAAATATTATAATTGCCAAAAAAAAAAAAAAAAAAATAGTCGGCTGCTGTATGTTTACCATAACAAAGGAAGTTTTCGCATTAGATCGCCAAAAGTGTCAGCATCGTATCCAATATCTAACTTTAATGGTATTCTACTTATGAAATTCAAGCTCTATTACAGACATGAAAAAGGATTAAGATTCAAGCTGGATAAATCAAATTCTTAGATTGAATGAAAGATATTCTGATAGGACAGGAATGCGGAACTTCTTTATCATATGATGTCATCTTGGAGAGGGAAGGAAATAATGCTTTCACTTTCGTTTTAATTTGTAATAAATTCAGCAAGATAAATGAAAACATACATTGTACTAATAGAACGACCATGGGGTAGATAGCGATGTCTTTGAAGAAGAGAAGCCCTCTCTCTTGGTCTTATTGTTCAACCAATGGTAAATTCTAAAACTATCTATACGTTATTTCCATCTTCAGATATGTGGTTTTAAGAAATAGTATCTAGGGTAAATAAAACCTCACACTTACTTGCAGACGATAGTGGTTGGATTTTCATCATCGTCCTCTTTCGCCAACTCTGCGACTCGTATCAACTTTTGTGTTGACATCACGCTCTTTTTGTCGTCAGTACCAAATGATAGATACACCTTTACCTTTCTCTCCCTTTCTCCCTGGAAACAAACGGCATTAACGTAAATATAATACGGGTTTTATGTAGCGAGTTTGGTAAAGTTGGTAAAGATTTTCAAAATAATCGTTGCAAACAACTACCTTAAATGGATTGTACAGAAGAAATGTAAGTGTCAATGCGGAATTAGATTAGATAGAGTCAGCTTACGAATTACATTGTGTCGTAACGCTGCTCGTTCCTGATGCTATGGGCCTAAATGTTAGGAGGCGTCAGATGTAAATCATATCGAAATTTAAACGTGTAAATATAGACATGGAGTTTCACGTAACAAATAATCAATAATTTCACGATTTGTAACATCGGATGAATTCAAAAGGATGTCAACTAAATGCATGTACTCTGAACAAAACTCTATTGCTTTATATTAAATGATGCAAAACAAATTCAAGTCGAAAAGTTTCAGACCGAAAATTTTCTCTTTTCCCTTTATGATAGTAATCCAAAACGTGATGACATGGGAGACGATTGGAATAGACAATTGCAGGAAGTGGCAAGTCAGAAAAATTATGAGACAGGTGCACGTCCACATTTAAATTTAATATTTTCTTTCGATTTTCAACTTTGGATTCTACCTAAGTCGCCTCCAAGGGTTCAAAATTTAGGTTCTTAACATCATTCTTACTGACTCTCTGTTTGACCAACATTCATGTGTTTTGTTTAATTCACAGACATTTTTATTTTACCTGTTTCTGAAGTGATACCGTCATCTCCGTAATACCGCTATCAGATGAACGCAGTCCCTGTGATTCCAGGATGAAGGGCCCAACACTTAAAGGTTCTCCCAGCGGTACGATGTCGAAATTCTGTTGTCAAAATATAAAATAGTCTTCAGATATGAGTGGCGAATAAAATCTGTCTTAATTTAGATGCGGTAACACATCATTATGCTGCTACATTCTGTTCAGTTAGTGTTGTGGGAGGTTTTCAAAGAAGATAAGGAAACAAATTTGAAGCCAAACAATGGAAATTATGTCAAACCTGTCCTGAAAGAATATCATATGTAGTATATTTAAGTATATTTATATGTTTTCTAGTCAAGTACATAGACTGCAGACAAAATACCGACATGTCGACAGAACACAAATTCTGTGAAAGGAAGCTTTACACGTAGACTCCTGAAAAAGTACAACAGAGACTTGGTAAATCTAAATATAAAAACGTACATCTTCTACTTTATCAAGAATGACGATTATGCGCGAGTTATAGTCATGCACCATGCTCCAAAATTCCACCAATGTGTGCCGCAAGGGAATCTGGGTTGCCAAATATCCTTCCATATCAAGACAAGTCTGTATAGAAAAATGAAGCGTTTCAGTGAATAACATAACAAACAATCATTAACGATGGTTTATCGTTATCAGAACTATGCATTTACACAACATACTTAACTTTCCATATCGTTAAGTGAAGTAAAGACAGGAAGAGTTTGCCGAGAAACAAATTGAAACTACCTAAGGAATTGTACATGTTTACCAAAACCCAATATTTAATGATGATTGCATGTGATACAATACTTATTTCAATATAAAAGTATAAAATAGTTATATGGATTGATTTCAATACTTTCATTCATTGTCATTTAAAATGAATAACATATATTTTGGGACATAGTCTGAACAATACGTACTGGTAGTAGGACTGCATTGATGTAGTCACCATTTCCGGTGTCTTGGGAAATAAGGGGTGCCCGGTATATGTCACCTTTAATTAAGATTAAAATAAATACTCCAGTTTCATGTCTTTATAAACAACCATTGTCATTTGGCAATAGTGCGTCCTTTTAGACTGCTACCTAGCCAAGCAATACATGGGAAGCCTGCTACATGCAATTCAGAACAATTGACAGAAAGATATTTCACTGATAGGACAACAGCAAATGATAACTAGTGTTTTTAACTTCTTGAGAAATACAAACCACCAAGGGCGGTTAAAGTTGAATCCCACACCTCAGAAGTTTTTCCTATGGATGCTAGCTCGAGACTGTACCAACTGAGGTACTGCAGCTCTGTGTAATAAGGTTCAACACCATGTATTTTAATTACTTCATACATCGGTGTAGAAATGTGTTACTAAGTAAACATGTTCTTGTATTTGGTACCGGACATGCAATAGGAACAACTTACTTGGTAAACTTTTCATACTTCTGTTCTTGCATACGTTTTGGACAGATAATGCAGACGAATATTCTGTACTCTCATACTGTGGACGATTTTTACGCAGGATCTGAAATATGAATTTTCCATGAATATAAATATATTTATAATGTTTATTGACATCTTTACCAGTGTAGAGCATTTTTGTTGCATGCAAGCCTATTTCACTTGGAGAATGGGTATGAAAGAAGATGTTAATATGCATATAGCTATTCTGGTGTTGGATGGGTCAGGTTATGAAAACTCCCTAATCGTTGTGAAGAATAGTTTCTGTGACAATAAACAGTATATACGTTTCGATTGGCTGACATGATGAATTTTGACGGGAAGGGCGCTTTAAACAATCATTGAAATTTAATCACGCAATAGATAATTCACGACTGTTTAAAGCTCGTGATTATGTAACTTTTAAAAAATCACTATCTCGAATAAAAGGGGAAAAAACATTCGCAACCACTTTTTATGTAACCTGTGTTTATATCAGAAAACGACTGTCAAAAGAAATGATTGATATCTGTATGAAATCAAGTATAACGTTTAATACAAATGACTTCATTAAAATGATTAATGACATGATAATTGTAATGAACCATGAAATGTAAAACGATCGAAAAGTCTATTTGAAAGATGTCCATCGATAACCTATATTTTGTATGTTAAGTTCCCTGTTTTCCATTTTATCTTGATGATATATCACATTCATTTACTCCGAAGATAATCACTTTACCTCAAATTCTTGTTTGAGTCTTTGCGTGTTTTCTGAAACGTCTGGAACAAGGCTGCGTGGTATTGAAGTATCTGGGTGCGTCAGTGCTACCACCAAAGATTCATATAGGGCCGCATACTGATCCTGAATAGAAAGATTGAAAAATAAATTTCTGATCATTGATAATTTAGTTAATTATCTATCATAAGTTAAGAATTCAAATGTTAGCATTTAACTGACTTATTTGAAGACCTATACATTTTAATGAGTCTGTAAATGTTTGTGTCACGGGAATAAAAGTTTCACACAAACACATTTTTTCATAACTATGACTTTTTACAACTCGTACCTGCGTTTGTACCATACCCTTGCGGCATGACCTAATCTTAGCAACATAGCTGTAGACGTCGATCATTCCCGTGCGTCGTCCATGCTTGAGGAGACCATCAAGGGCTATAAATGTCCCTGTACGACCGATTCCTGCACTATTATTGAAAATAATGTTGGAATTCATAATTTGACAAAATAAATTATACTAATCTTCATAATTGATATGAGCATACATCTATTTGCCACTGTAATCAAATTTCTGGTTAGTACTTCCGAATAATCTGAATATCACAACATTGATTTCCGTTGTTGGCGTCAAATTATATATATTTCCCCCATAATGTATTATAAAGTAATGAAAAACATTGCTGCCTCTTCTCCAGTTTCCTTTGATAATAATTATTCGCGTTTATTTTAAAAGAAGAAAAGTATTCGCGTTTATTGTTTTAATAAAATGAATCTTATAAATGAACCTGCAATGGACGATGACCGGTCCGGATTGTGAAGCTACACTTTTATCCACATGGCGTTGGAAAATTGCCAGTCTGAATGAATTCGGCGTGCCGTGATCTGACCAGGCTAGGAAGTGGAAGATGTGAACTGTTCTCTTCTCCTTTGTCTGAAGCGTACAGTTAGATATAATAATTTGCTAACATACTTTTTAAAATTCCATCTGATATCTATATAAATAAAAACTCCGGTATACCTATATGACTTTGATATTAAGATTTCAGCTGTTTTGTACATTTCTTTCTGGAAGGTTCCCGTGTCAATTCACCTAGATCATAATATATTATATAGCTTGGTACTAACATTAAATATTTGATCGCAATATGGATGACGAAAAAGCAAAAATAAATCTTATATTTAGTTACAACCAAAACACAGTCCTGATTTTACAACATTACAGGGTTTTGATATAAATATTATTGATTTCAGCTTCTATGTTTTCCCTAATGATTTCATATAGTCTGTAATTTGATTCCAGCTCGTTTCATTTCTTGTTCTTTAGAAATTCAGATTTTGATTTCTTTGAAATGGTTAATGTTTTTATTGCACGTGAATGATTTTTAAAATCATAGGTGAAGGTATTAGAAATTGCTTAGATTTAGATGGATTTACACAACAAAAAGTATATTATGTAACATGTTATCGATAGAGTGATAAAACATTTTAAAAATATCCGTAATAAAGCATATATACTGTTTGAAATCACGATAATGTTGTATGAACGAAAGAGTTGTTTACTAAGATAAATATATTAATATTTTGTACGAGAACGTTTGAAATCTATCAACCTACCTTCTCCTCTTTAATGTTTAAAAGTGTAGTTGTGATGTAGAGTTTAGACTTCTCTTCCAGTGTAGTGATTGTCAGTTCCTTATTGGTCAAGACTTGCCCCAGTTTCGGCCAGTACCGGCAACATTTTTCCTGTAAAAAGTAAGTGCACTATGTATACCATGGTCTGATTTAACAGTGTATATAGTGCATGACGTCAAGGGAGGTGTCCGTTTTGCTGATTTTGAAAATATAACACTTTTTTTACAAGACTGATAAAGTGTGAGAAAATCAACGACCAGCGTAAGTATGAACTTCTTGGAGATGGTCAACACGAATGTATTTAATGATTCATGTACAAATGAACTATGGTAGTAAATATATATACCATTTCTCATATTGTAAGACGGTTAAACTCTTCAACTGGATGCGATGAATGAATATTTATCAAAATGAGCAACTCATAAAAAGATTAATATCTATATCTGGTATATAAAATAAACAAATATTTTTCTGTGACGGAAATTTTATGCACAGGCCCAATGCAACATGAATTTATAAACTTGTGACCTACCTTTCCTTTTTCCCGTAGGTCCGTTAGCATGACAATCTTATTTGAATGCTGTTCCCATGTCATCCTCCAGAAGTCCCAGACTGTGTTATCTTTGGGACCTGATATATACAGAAAGACAACTTGAGTAGAGTATAACAAAGGATTCGATTTCACTTTGATACTGTAATATCATAAATTTTCCCGAGGCAAAAATTTCGTGACTTTCCAAAAATAAACATTTTCGTTGGCATTTGATTTCGTGGTAAATATTGACCATAATATTCACAGATACTATAAAACATTATCATTTCATGGACGAGCTCTTGGATTTAGGCTTATTATACAGTACAACTTAATGGATTGAGTTGTTTATAAAGAAACTTTAAAACTGATGATCTACATATAGATATCTTATCATTTAGTATGCAGATCAATATGCATATTTATCATTTATTTGAATGAAATTTTAGGGAAATATAAGTAACAATAAATTGCTTGTTTGAATTGCATCATTCGCATTTTGAAGCAAACATTTTAATAAAACAGTGTCTTAAGTAAACAACATTCAAAATATATAAAAGATGTCACTTGCTCTTACCTTGTGAGGCTATGTAACATTCATCGCCTCCGACACTCTGTGAAAGACAAGTTTGAATTATACATAATTAATATGATGACCAAAGCGCCCTAGTATGGGGAATTTAGTACAAACTATTCCCGTGTTTGGTTACCTATGTCTATATTTGTGTGGAGTAGACCAATTATTTTTACTTCCAATAGATTCTTTAAATATTTGTACAATTTTTGTCGTTTTTGAATTTTAGATATCTTCTTTGCATGAAATCTGCTTGGAGTATATGGGGATGTAAAGGGATTTGAAAATGTCGGCTTCTTCGGTGACGTATCAGTAGTGATTCTATTTTTGTGCATTGGGATACGAAAAGAGAGAAATTTGCATGGCATACTGTCATATGAAGCGTTTCGGTATAACAAAGATATGTAGAGACAAACGGTTAATGAAAATAAATTTAGTTGCCGTTTCTCTTGTTTTTCTGTTTGATAAATCAAAATGTTATTTTAAACGAAAAAGTTGACTCTATTAAAAGTCAAAATGCCCATATACTTGATGCACTTGATTACATGATTATCTAGCTGGTTTTTTATTAAGACATATTTGAGAAAACAGGGTGAAATATTAACCTGTACAAAACTGGCGTTTATATAATCGGTCTGCCCTTGTCTGGCTCTAAGTATTACCCTTGTCTGGTCATCTGTAAGAAATTTAGAAAAATCTTAAAAAGAATTTTACAGATCTGATAAAATATCTATCTATATGAATGTATACACATCTACTGAAGAGCACGCTTCAGCTACTGTCCATTATAATGCTCCACAAGACATGAATATGGCATGCGTTATGATTAAGAAATATTTCATTTTTTGGAAAAGATTTCCAAACTTATATTTTAAAATGTCCTTTCATTTCAAAACTATAAACATAAATTCATCCTTATTTCTTTTTCTGCATTTTGATAAAATAAAACGTTGTTGAATGTTATGTATCTTGAACTTGTATGAAGACGTTTCTACATCAATATTTGCAAAATTCATCTTAATTGCCGTTTAACATTTTCTATAATTTGTATATTTGTATATAAATAATACTTGCGAAATTATTTCGACATATATTTTAAACCTATCAATCAATATCTTTATTTGACTTTATGTAGCGGTAAAGATATAAAATTACCGTCCCTGAATGCCATACATACATGGAAGAATTGTCTTGTAGCGGTTCTTAGGTTTATTTTCTGGCCGTTCTGCTACATCCCATGAGAAAAGTTGACCTGTTGGCAGATGCTGTAAAAGAAATTAAAATGAATATAGTGTAAAACAAACAAGGAAACAAATTCACTTAATCCCTATCAACGTTTATTTATAAAAAAAATAAAATAGTTTATTTCAACCAAAGACACCGAAAACAATTATTTGTCGTCTTAAACTCTGCACAAGGTACCGAAACGATTAAAATTCGTGATTTTTTTTATCATTATGAGAGATGGTCCAGTTACATATTTAAACATCTAAGAATTTCAATTAGCAAATTTATTCGCAATCTGATTCGATGACAAAAGACATTGTTGATATCATGTTATGGTCAGGTAGGCTTGGAATCCTGTAACATACCTTGAATTCGTCACTAATACGTCCAAGCTGTTTCTTAGTAACCACCGATTCCTCGAATCCTTGAAGTTTCATTTTGGTATCATAATTGATGGTTCCCGAACTAGGTTCTTCATGGTACTCGTTTAGACTAGCGGTGCTGCTCCAATCATACATTTCTTTCGAGCTGTTTAGTGAACGATACTCTCTCGGGACAGCGTCATTACAACTGTCCACGAAAAGTTCATTGTCGAACGAGTTTCGTGTCAAGCTGTTCACGTGGTAAGTCTTAGAACATGGAGCATTACTATCCATGCTATCTCCACGATAAATGACATTTCTGGATTCTGGAAAAGTCAATAAGGAAGATGTGTTGCTTTTCCCGAATTGTTCATTATTCGTTGACCTACTTGCATACACGAAAATTTACCTTGTTATTTTGCGTTAGATATTTGACTTAAATTGTCTTTGTTTTGCAATATTCGCGGGAATTACATTTCGTAATTGAAAATGACTATATCATTCATGAGCGATTACGTATGAATATTAACGATTTATTGATTTCTACTGAGGAAATTGTTAATTGTGTAAGTCTATCCATCATTGTGCGAATTCTATATTAGGTTGCATTTTATTTGAACATTAATGTCATCCACTTTTCAAGTATTGTACAATTGTTTGAAAATTGGTAATAACTCAAATTGTTGAATTGGTCTTGAAGACAGCTACTCTAATGATAAATAGATATTATCGATTTTAGAGAAAAAAATATTCGAAAATGAGGTTAGTCTCTAAGTTCCAAATTTGTGTCCATCAGTGGGTTTATCAATTTCTAGATTATTTGTTAAAATAATAGAAATAAATTATTCTGGTTATTTAACATGTTTGTCAACATACTAGATTTTGAAAAAATAGAACGAATTATTGCGATTTGACTGAATAGTGTCAAAACATTAAAGCTGCGATATATCCTAGACTTAGATGTCTACAGGTATACGGTGAAAAAAACCTTGACAGTGCATATGTGATTAGGATAACTTAAATTTGTATCTTTTAATATGAACTATCACTTTCGGTATCACTTAATAACAAAATATCGTGAAATGAGAATAGTTTCCAAGCAAAAGGCCAATAAGCAGAGGTGTCTTTCCTTCATCATTATCAAAACAATTGTCAGTATTTGATAGATATTTATTAGTTTGAAGTCAGTTTAAAGAGTAAAATTCGAAATAAATATGTTTTTATATTGTTATCGATATTATTTATATATCTTATTTTTGGTTTGGTTTTAGTGATAAATTAATACAACAAAAGATATTATGGAAAAACTTTTTTATTTAAAAATAAATAAATGACAGTTATTTTAAAAATACGTTAATTCAATATGATTTCAACATCATATTAGTAAATCTGATTTGTGACGTCAAATCAATGCAACCTATATATTCTAATACTGCTTCATAGAACGCCATTGAACACTATAATTGTAAGACACAACGAAAAATTGTCTATACATACATGGCACGGTATAAGTTCAATATATACATGAATGTCACTTTAAGTACATCACGCACAAGTACGTCGCAAAAGCTTTGGAAATCATTAAATTTTATAATGAGGAAAAGTCTTTGCGATTCATGTTGTCAGTCCTGATAGATATCAGTTGGGATACGTACGGGTTCTATTATCACCGTAAAGATTTGCAATGGAGTTCATCATTCGCTGTCGGTTTGAATTTCGACCTCTTCTGAAAAATGAAATGAAATGTTTGAGAGCATTGATATTTTGTGCTTTCCAAGTGGCAGAATCAAATAATATGTTTCATTTTATTATGTAGTTATCCATGTTTGTCTGTTTTCTGATGCATTAACATTCTTGTATCAATTAAGGTTTATATCGGACTCAGAAGTTGGAGAATGGTATTGTGTGAAGTTTATGTACGTTACCTGTGAGCCACAAACAGAACAACTAGAAGAACGAGCAACATCAACACCAACAATCCCACGGCCGCACCAATGATACCAGCGACGCTTACACTTGCATCCTCAACTGCAAAAAAAAAATTATATAGGTGATTGAACCCAAGATACACAAATGAATATCACCTTTCCATACATCTCTAGAATTAAATATAGTAGAGCCAAACAACGAATTAAAGTGCGTCGTACAGCTGTTAATCTTTCTAGACCTCGTCAGTGATGCTAAGGACCTACATTTTGAAACATGGGAGGCGACTGAGAAAATCGATTTAATAACTGAAAAAAACAGTCAAAATCTAGACAGGGAGGAGCGCTAGCCCGATAATGCAATGAATTTCGTAATTTTCAAATATCAGATAATTTAATGAAGTACATGTCGATATATATTAAGTTAACAACTATATTTGGACTGCAGGACTATGTTTATCATTTCGGATGTGGAGTAAAGAATCATTTTTTTTCCTTTATTCAAGTTTATTACTGAGGGTAACAATTTGAATAATGCATTGTTTTATTTATCAGTACGTTTCATCCAATCAGAAGCCGGTTACCTACCTAAAGCCGTCTGACACTGCGCGCCAGAAAAACCAGATTGACAAAGATCAGCTGGACAGGTACCGTTTACGTGGTGACATGTGACACTGTCGGAACACTCGCCGCATTTATTAGCACAGGCATCGCCGTAATAGCCCGAGTCACATACTGAAATGGAAAAAATCGTAAAGAGATATATGTATAGAATGAATTGTATAAAAGGTAGCTGAGTACAACTTTCCAATAAAAACCAGATATATATGCATTGCGTGACGAATAATGAATCGGCCGTCTATGCTATGTCAATGAATCTAAGGGGATATAGTGTTTAAATCTTCAACGCAACTCAGGAAAATTAAAACCATATTGAATAATTGGTGAAATTTATTTGAAGCGCACGAGCCTAATAATTTCGGAAAAATGAAATGGTCAACGATTGTACAAAAGTTACACAAATGAATAACACCTTTTAATACAGCTATATATTTAGATGGCGTTGACCCAAACAATGAATTAAACTGTATCATACAACGTCGTTTTAGGACTCGTCGGTGATGCAAAGGGCATAAATTATGAAGCCCAGAAAGCCACTTAGAAAAGTCAATATCTAGATTGGAAGATGCTTTAGCCTCATAATTTAATACATTTGATACTTTTTTTAATATTGGTTCAATTCAAAAGAATGTTAAGAAAATGTGTAACCTGAAGAAGTACTAATATTCCTTTAAACTTTCGAGCATCACAACTAACCAAATTAATCCCTTCAAACTGAAAAAACGAAACTGAAGTATTATCTTAAGCACTACCCCATTATGAGTAACTCCGTAACATGGTGATAAGTGATCTCTTACCTTTGCTACACGTATCTGCCTGCCAGCCAGGTAGGCATCCTCCACTGGGACACTTTCCGGTCACGTGGTTGCAGGTACCTGATGCACAGTGGCATGTCTTGGCACATTCAAATCCAAATCGTCCTGCCAGGCAAGCTGAAGAGTGTAACATATTCCATATCAATGAACATATTGACAATATCGATAACTCAAATAGAAGAACACGAATGAAAGTGTAGTGCAACACAATACGATATGCCTGTTCTAAAAGCTTAGCTATTTGGAAGTCCATTACGTAATGAATAATTCAATTTCTTATTTTCGTGTTTAAAATTGTAATTTTATGTGTATATCAATATATTTCCCTATTATCTGATATAATATGATTAAAGATGATCTCTCTCTCTATATGTAACAAAAACAAAAAATGCATGGATTATTCTATTTTGGACGTGTTCTTTTAAAACCTACGTTTGTTGCATTTTGGGGATGTCCATCCATCTTGGCACAATCCGGGACATAATCCTGATGTCGAATTACAGGTACCGAACAGACAGTGACACTTCTCAGTACAACTATCACCATGCGACCCGTTCGGACAAGCTAAACAAGCAAATGAAAAGATTTTATTTAATCTTTTAAGCATTTATAATCCATGACACTACATAAATGTACTTTAGAAATGTTATTAATTGTATTTTTAAAAATCATTTTTACTGAACAGCCATTGTGTACCCGAAGCAGTAGGTGGCGCCACTTGGGTGTTATTGAAAGCACCCACGACAAGAACATAGTTCCAACAGCAACATTTTAATGTAGTTATTTTATTTACATGTGTACTTTTTGCCGTCAAATATATCACGTACTTCATATGTACATGTCTTACATGTCTTGCATGTCTCCGCACATTTTCATCATTGTATTTTTTTTCTTTGAGATAGATATTACTTCAATGAAATGATATTTACGTTCGCTGCATGTCGGACGTTGCCAGCCAGCTTTGCACTTATTTCCCGGACAGATACCCGTATTAGGGTCACAGGTGTCAGTTTCACAATGACATTGTCTGCTGCAATTCGCACCAAAGTATCCAGCCGAACAAACTACAATTTGTTTTAAATTGACATATTAACAAAATCTTCCTAAAACACAAAGGCAAACTATAAATAACAATCACACAGATATCCTGGAAAAACTATAAAACAAATGAGTAAGACCTGAAGTTTCAGTAAGGCGTTAGCTGTATTTGTGTGTTGTAATGTTAGGACAGGACCTAGTATGTTGTGTTATCTGTAGTTATTGTGTGTTGTAATGTTAGGACAGGACCTAGTATGTTGTGTTATCTGTAGTTATTGTGTGTTGTAATGTTGGGACAGGACCTAGTATGTTGTGTTATCTGTAGTTATTGTGTGTTGTAATGTTGGGACAGGACCTAGTATGTTGTGTTATCTGTAGTTATTGTGTGTTGTAATGTTGGGACAGGACCTAGTATGTTGTGTTATCTGTAGTTATTGTGGGTTGTAATGTTAGGACAGGACCTAGTATGTTGTGTTATCTGTAGTAATTGTGGGTTGTAATGTTGGGATAGGACCTAGTATGTTGTGTTATCTGTAGTTATTGTGTGTTGTAATGTTAGGACAGGACCTAGTATGTTGTGTTATCTGTAGTTATTGTGTGTTGTAATGTTGGGACAGGACCTAGTATGTTGTGTTATCTGTAGTTATTGTGGGTTGTAATGTTGGGACAGGACCTAGTATGTTGTGTTATCTGTAGTAATTGTGGGTTGTAATGTTGGTATTGTATAGGACCTAGTATGTGTGTTGTTGTGTTATCTGTAGTTATTGTGTGTTGTAATGTTAGGACAGGACCTAGTATGTTGTGTTATCTGTAGTTATTGTGGGTTGTAATGTTAGGACAGGACCTAGTATGTTGTGTTATCTGTAGTTATTGTGGGTTGTAATGTTAGGACAGGACCTAGTATGTTGTGTTATCTGTAGTAATTGTGGGTTGTAATGTTGGGACAGGACCTAGTATGTTGTGTTATCTGTAGTTATTGTGGGTTGTAATGTTGGGACAGGACCTAGTATGTTGTGTTATCTGTAGTTATTGTGGGTTGTAATGTTGGGATAGGACCTAGTATGTTGTGTTATCTGTAGTTATTGTGGGTTGTAATGTTGGGACAGGACCTAGTATGTTGTGTTATCTGTAGTTATTGTGTGTTGTAATGTTGGGACAGGACCTAGTATGTTGTGTTATCTGTAGTAATTGTGGGTTGTAATGTTGGGACGGGACCTAGTATGTTGTGTTATCTGTAGTTATTGTGTGTTGAAATGTTGGGACGGGACCTAGTATGTTGTGTTATCTGTAGTTATTGTGTGTTGTAATGTTGGGACGGGACCTAGTATGTTGTGTTATCTGTAGTTGTTGTGTGATGTAATGTTGGGATAGGACCTAGTATGTTGTGCTATCTGTAGTTATTGTGTGTTGTAATGTTGGGACAGGACCTAGTATGTTGTGTTATCTGTAGTTATTGTGTATTGTAATGTTGGGAGAGGGCTTAGTATGTTGTGTTATCTGTAGTTAGTGTGTGTTGTAATGTTGGGACAGGACCTAGTATGTTGTGTTATCTGTAGTTGTTGTGTATTATAATGTTGGGAGAGGACCTAGTATGTTGTACTTTTATCTGTAGTTCTTGTGTATTGTAGTGTTGCGAGAGGGTCCAGTTTTTCCAATAAAATCTTTTTCGAGATTTTCGTAAAGGCATAAATTCATTTTGTTCCAGTATCTTGTAAAAACGCTATAATTCTAACCATCAGAATAAGTAAACACAACATCCTTATCATTGACTTCATTCTATGGAACAAAATGTCAAATTAAGCGAGTGGTCGAAAAGCGCAGTGGAAACGCATTCGCCTTTCACCTAGCCTCCGGAGTACGATTCTCGGAACAGAAGTGAAAAGGAAGGGGGTTACTTGCTCGACCGAGGGGGTTTTCCCCACGATTCGCCGGGTTCCTCCCACAATAGAAAAAAAAACCTCGGGCGCTTACATCCAGGTCAACAAATGTGATAAGTTGAAAAATTTTCGTAATTGTTGTAAAATAAATAAAGTATATGGATATATAATCATATGTAGATTAAGCAAAGTATTTTATCTACATGAATTCACAGTCTACATACGGTTACTACACGTGTTTCCGGTCCATCCTGCTTGACACACGTCACCAGGACAGGTTCCGTTGATGGTGTTACAAGTCGATTGATCACAGTAACATCTGTTTATGCAATTTTCTCCAAATGTGCCACCCAAGCAAGCTTGAATAAAAAAAAGACATCCATGAGTGTATACGTTATTATCTCATTTCTATAAAGTCTATTTAGTTGTATTAAAGGTATTATAACAAATGACACTTGCATTGTTTTGATTGTTACTGTATATGTAAGATACGGCTTTATAACAAACATAAATCTGGTGCCAAATTTTTTGAATGCTAAATATTCTTGCAACAACCAAGGTATTAAAATCAAGTTATTTTTTCAGGATAATTTTGTGACCTTCACCTTCATTGCAGTAGATGCCCTTCCATCCAGGCTTGCAGGCGTTTGTTGGGCATATTCCATAAATAGGGTCACATGCTCCACCCTTACAGTGGCAGCTTTCCTCACAGTTCTGACCAAACGTTCCCACAACACAGACTGGAGACAACAATGTTTGTATAAAAATTAAATCACAATTACGACATCGATTTAAGAAACAGAAAAGAGAATAAAACATATACGTAAGCACTTTTCTTTCATTGCTTCCAAGTATTTTTAAAGAATATATTAACCTGCAAAACAAGTCATTATAAATAGATTTAGAAGACAGGGAAGTAAAAAAAGGATTTGCCAAATACTACGTACACTTACTCTCATGGTAAAGTGAAAACATGGCGACTGCTTCAGTCACCAAACATTTATACTAACCTTCGTTACATGCTGTTCCTTTCCAACCACGCCGACATCTTCCACCCGCACAAACCCCGGTCACGTGATCACAGGTTCCGTTCGCGCAGTAACAATTTGACATGCATTTATCTCCCCATGTGCTAAAGCCACAGGCTGAAAAAAGAAATAATGCTTATCATTATCATATTCAGTTGTGAAACTGGGGTTAAATGTGACGTTTCCAAAGCAAATATTTACCAGTTTACTACAATTACAAACAATGAAACGCTTCCAAAACACTGACGTGAAAGGTCATAAAGGTCGATTGAAAGAAGTAGAATGGATATTTACTTTAAAATTTGGAGTGATCTGGCACGTGACAGATCGGTTATCGGAAAATAAACATAGCTACTAAAGAAGATGTTTTCTCTTCAAAAGAACTCTTTAATCTGAAAAAATCTGACTAAATGTACTTACGTATAAATAAAGTGATATCATATATTTCAGAAGCCTACCTGTATCACAAAGCTTTCCTTGCCATCCTGGACTACAAATACAAGAGTCATTGCTTTTGTCACACGCTCCGTTGACACACAGACACGTTCTGGAACAGTTGTATCCAAAAGTTCCACTGGGACAGGCTGCGTAATGGACAAAATTGAACAGAACAATTTGGAATTACTTGACATTGGTACAGTAAAATACCCTAACATACTCAAAAGCTATCCATTTAACAGCCATTCAGCTAAAGAATGTCATTTCTGTCTGTGACAACAGGTCTGGATAAGTCAATGTTTAGACAAGAAAGTTTGTTTTTCAAGAAATACGTCACTTCTCATATACTGCTATAATTTATGAGTAGTGATTCTTTTTAGTGTCTTTATATGATGACAAAAATTCAAAGTTTTCTTTGTAATATTTGGGTCTCCAATTTTACAGCAAAAATGTAAACATTACACAAGATATCACATACACTTTGAGGTTGTTAGTATTGTCACTTAATAAATTACAACATTATCTTACAGTGTTATGTGATTTCCAAGGAAGCTTTGGAAAATAAGCAGAATCTTTTTAAGAAGCCAAAAAATGATTATGTATAAAACCCCGAAATCATGATTATATGCTCATTGCTATATTATACTAGTAATCGTCTTCAAAACATAAACAAAGCCCTATTTACGACAAATCAGATGTCGTAACAAGGCATATATGTCGTAAAATACCCATCGGGTCCTATCTTTTACCTGCACTGCATGTTGGTCCCGTCCATCCGGGTCTGCAGATATTTCCGGGACACTTTCCATTGACTTTGTCGCAGGTACCCGTGTCACAGTAGCACGAATACTGGCAGTTGATTCCGAATGTTCCGGAAACACAAGCTACGAATAAGATTAAAGGATGTTTATGTTTTCTGAAATATTGCAACACTGAGAGTAGATTTACTAACTTATTTATACTAAGAATGTATAACGAATTGTGCATCAATGTAGAGTGTTCCTGTAATATTATAATGTATGGCTCCTGTTTTCGTGTACCGAGAAATCCATTTCGATTTTTGTGGTATTGTCAAAATTTCTAATCAAGAAAATTTCAAAAAGAAATAACAAATAACAAAAAAAAAAAAAAAAAAGAAAAAGGAAAATTATATAAGAAATATGAAAAAAGTAAATGAAACGAAAAGTTTAATAAAAATAAGAAAATAAATAAATAAAACAATTAAATGAAAGCAGTCAAATGAATGAATTGAAAGCTCCATTACACTATACCAAACAAATGAACAATGACAAAAACAGCAATATAAACAAACAAAAAAGTTTTCTTACATTGATTACACCTGTTCGAATACCAGCCAGCTTGACACTGTCCCTGAGTACATACACCGGATTTAGGGTCACATGTCCCTCTTAGACAGTTAATGCACTGCTGCTGACAGTTAAATCCAAACATCATGTCTGGACACACTGAGAAAAAAAGAAAGAAAAATATGAAACGCTAAATTTGCTTCAACTAAAAAATGTTGCTACATATCAAAACATAGAACTAGTATCAATTTTCAATTTATTTATTTATTTATGAGTGCGTTGGATTAAATAAAGGTATCAGCTGTTCTGTAATTATTTTTCTGAGAATATGTAACAGTACAAGGGTTCGTAATTTTAATATTATATACTACATGTTTTATAATAATTTTATTCTAAAAAATGGAAAACCTCGCATTGTTTCTCATCAGAAAGTTATATCACTTACATTCACTGCACGTGCTTCCCGTCCAACCGACCTCACATCGATCATCCTTACACGTGCCATTCACTGGATTACACGTGCCAGTCTCGCATTTGCAAATACCACTGCAGTTCAGTCCAAACGTTCCGTTGTCGCAAGCTACGAGCATATGAAAACGATATTAACATCATCTTAAAGCAACATAAATTTTATGACATGACACAGTTATTGCGAGATAGTGAGTAAAGTTGCTTCATACAACTTTATATGTTTATATTTATGTATAAAAATACATAAAAATACTTTTTTCTTGTTGTGTGATAAACCTCTTCAATATCTTGATAAATGAAATTTCTATCAATATGATTCTGCGCGAATCAAATAATCAAAAGATAAAATTATTTTTCGTTACCATATTTAGATAGGACCACAAACCTTGAATTTCCTTCAGAATACCGTTAGTCGAGCTTATTTAACACAAGATAATTTGGTGATGTATGTTTAGTTTACCTTGGCTACAAGACTGTCCCTGCCACCCAATCTGACAACCTCCAGTGGGACATATTCCGTTGATAGGCTGACAGGAGCCAATGGCACAGTAACAGGTACTTGAACAGTTCTCTCCAAATGTTCCATTCTCACAGACTACCATGTCAATTACATATTACATTAGAAAGTATAAGCTTATACATAAACTAAATACGTGTAATCATACATATCATAACTGCACGAAAGTAAGACGCTCCGTGAACTAAGAAAATGATAATTTTATAAAAATAACCCAGATGACTTACTAAAGGGAAAAAATATCTAAGTGTACATTGTATTTTACAATTTTTGTTACATTTATTATTCAATAATTGACATTCCTTAAAATAATCAAACGTAAAATTAAGTCAAATATATCCTTTATTTCGTTCTGTTGTCAACGTTCCAAGTTTAAGTATTCAAATATTATCGTTCTTATCATAAAAAAATCTCAGTACACTCAGTATAAAAAACCATCAAGTTTTACAAACAAATTGTATGCAAATATGTCCATAATGTTCATCATGGACTTCTTAATGACACTGCATGTCAAAAGATCCATATTTTAGAACTATTTTGAAACTAAACAACAATAAAGACATTTAATGACAAAATGGAAGTAATGACTTACTATCATTGCACGAGACACCTCTCCATCCATCCTGACAAGTTCCATCCGGGCATGTCCCATTCATTTTATCACATGTGCCAACTCGACAGTAGCATTCGCTTTCACAATTTTGTCCATATTTTCCGGAAGGACATGCTATTTATGAATTAAAAAAAACCACATTGTAAACGAAGATTAAACATGAAAATAACTAAATGTAGATTTTATTGTTCATGTGGTTTTACATGCACAAGAAAAAGTTGTTTTTTTAAAAATAGATGTCCACTTTCTAAACTGTTTTTCCGATTTCCCCCCTGATTTTTGCAATTATGCCAGTAATACTATCCGAATGCGTAAAGTATAGTTCTTGACCTTGGCTACAGGAGGCCCCATGCCAGCCACTCTGACAAATCCCGGTGTCACATGTGCCGTTGATAGGATCACAGATATTGGAGTCACAGTAACACATTTCACTACAGTTGCTCCCGAAAGTACCATTGTCACAGGCTGAAAATAGAAAAAAACAATTAACAGCATTCTTTCTGAGCTTTTTTAAATAATTATTTACTAAACGATTTTATGACATTTTCTACCATTTATCATCACAATTTTAAAAAAAATCTAGATTAATGAAACTGCAAATATATTATATTTTCGTAAATTGAATGATGTCACGTCGAAGGTAAACCAACGATCCAATGGAATTGTCATTTTTCATCTGTATTCGGTAAATTTCAGTTTTTGTCGTTTCGATATTGTATTTTGGTTAAATGGAGATAAATAGGGAACTGCATTTTTTGTAGTTTCATTGGGTTGTGATAATCATTTCATCCATGTTCTTGTCAGCTCACGTTTGTTGCAGAGAGCGGTCTTCCATCCGGCCTGGCATAACCCGGAAGTACAATTCCCAGTGTGGGGGTCACATCCTCCGTGTAAACAGTTGTCACACGTCTCACTACAGTTTCTACCAAATGTTCCATCAGCACACACTGCAAAACCAAGTCCAAAAATCATAAATATGAAAATAAACTGATAAAACATATAGCTAAACTCGAAAACGAAAAGACAATGCTTGGAAATGAGAAGAGTGAATTAGAAAAGGCCTTGAAATGTCTAAACAAATAGAGGCGTTCTACATCAATGTTTGTAGATCAAAGTTCGGGCTAGGAACGGTCATTATTCTGAACCGTGCCATGATTGAAATGAACCTAAAATGTGTCCCATGCACATAACGGCAAAACCTGAAGACTAAAAAGTCCATCAGCTGCATGTGTCTGCCATCTGTAATTCCAAAGATACACAACCATGCTCCGTCCAAAATTAATTTCTATTTCAAGGTCAATACTGTACCTTGGTCGCATTGAATCCCGATCCAGCCATCATCGCAATCGGTGCCATTCAGGCACGTGCCGTTCACGTGGTCACATGTTCCATCCAAACAGTGACACACTTGGGTGCAATTCAAACCAAAGGTGTCAGCCTCGCAAGCTAAAAACATATATAAAAGAGGAGTGTAATCGTTGTTTCGAACAGTACCGTTCGATATAACACAGGCGAGGAATAAGCAATGGTTGAACTAATATGACAACATTTAATGAGAAATTCGGTTGAACAAAAAGAATAATTGAAAGGTAAGTATAAGTTCTAGATTTTTCCTCATTCGAACCCCACTCCCTTCTCCTCGAAGAAGAAACAGCTACATTTGCTGCAATTAATCCCTCACCCTGTCCAGTAGCAGTGAATAGATGTATCACATTTCACGATGGCTTCTAATAGGTACTTACGCTCATTACAAGTCAGTCCCTTCCAGCCTGTCTCGCAGGGGCCATCCGAGAAACATAACCCATTGAAAGGATCGCATTCTCTCCCCTCACAATAGCAGGTCTCTCGACAGTCAGGTCCGTAAGTTCCTTTACTACAGTCTGTAAATAGCACACGACACGTTTATAGGTAGCAGTGACCTATATTCTATAAACTGATGTAGTTTTTTTCATTAAAGTAGTCTTATATGTTATTTAAGTAATTTGAATTTGGCCCCGATCTCAAAAATACCTCCTATTAATTAGTAATCACATGCCCTAGATGATGGAAACTGACCATACAATGGTGCCCTCCTTCCTCAGTGATGCTAGGAACCAAAAGAGTGAAAATCAAAACAGGTACTAGGAAAACCTTAATCTGAATGAAAATACAAATATATACAAGGGGATGTGTCCTTACCTTAATATGGAATATGTTTGGTAAGTTTTGGTGTTCGATATTGGTTAAAATATGTATATCTTCTCAAACCTTGTCTATAAGATTTTCAAGTAAAGTATCGTTGTAGTTGCTGATAGCTATTTAACTGAACAGCGTATGGGAGGCCCATCGCATGTCAATCAGAGCAATAAGGGTAAAGTATTTTGCCAAAGAACACAACCTCGGGACGATTCAGTGTCTCATGTTGCCCAGAGCATTGATCGAACCAAACACCTCGGATCTTCACCCACGGTTGCCTGGTTCGATGTTCTACCAACTACGGTTTCGGGGCCTCTAGAAACGTCTTCCAACAAGGGCCAGTCAATATGTTATATACATTTATACATGTAAACAATATAAGTAATTTCCTTTTAAAACAATGTATACACACAGATATAAGTAAAAAATGACGAACATCGTATACCTACTTTCACTACATGTCAGTCCTGTTCGTCCTGGCGGACATACACATTTGCCATTAACCGGTTCGCATGTACTGTTAACACAGTTGCAAGTACTTTTACAATCTGTCCCATACTTCCCGGGGGGGCATGCTTTATAAAACACAAATATGAATCATTCACAAATTCAGAAGATTGCTATAAACCCAAAAGAAAAAAGAAAAGGTCATGTGTAACAAGAGCGATAAATGTTTGTATAGAAACATTTTATCCAAATATATAATGTTAAATTTCAAAAGTACAATAAGTATGGCGAATATTTTATATCAAATAAATATTTCATGAAATAATCATTTCTATTGCAAAATATACACAAGCCTGTTTGTAAAAGTGCTAGTTTTATAATTGACCCGACAATAAATATTTACGTTAAATATATTACTTCCAACAAACATCAATATTTTACTGTGTAGTCTGATATTTACGTTGAAAGAAAAATCCTTGCATCCAAATTTTATTGAATATGATTTAAGATTCTAGTAAGAAAGTCATCTCACCTTGACTACAGGTGGCTCCAAGCCATCCGTCCCTGCAGAGATCGTCTTGACAAGCACCTGTTATCACATCGCAGGTTCCGTTCCTACAGTGACACGATCCGGAACAGTCTTGTCCGAAACTGTCTGCCGGACAACCTTCAGTAGGAAAATGTTATTTACAATCACGTTTACTTCATTCTATATATGTCACTGAAAATTGTACATATTTTAGATTTCGATTAAAATTTGTCTCAGTATATCTATATGTTCTAAATACTGTTCAGTTATGAAAACTTGTTTCTAACAAGTTTCTTCGAACATTTCAAATAATCAAGATTCTTTTTAAGATGAAAGTTTAATGTTTTAATGCTAATAGACATGGCAGAAACGACCATTTTTACAACATAACTATTAAATATAAAGTACTTTAATGAAACTTTACAAACAAATTGCTATGATAATAATGAGAGTCAATTTGTAACACCGGAAATGTTGTATGCTACACAAAGGCATATATTCTCTCGTTTTAAATATGACAATTATATATATATATTAACTTTTGTTACTCTTATATGAATGATACAAATATATATATATATATATATATATATATATATATATATATATATTGCCTTATTTTGCGACATTGCGAAACTAAAACCGGAAGTGGAAATTCGTATCCCTGAAGAGCAAACCCTCCATTCATCTTGCAACAAGACAGTTTCATTCAATACCTTACCGTCAAACCAGGAAATTAAAATAGATAAATAAAAACAATGATTAATTAACTGATTTAGTATAGACATCAACAGCGTGGAGTTACATACTTTCGTTGCAGAATTTCGTGGCCCATCCGACCTTGCACCTTCCTAGAGAGCAGACACCGAATTCTGCCTCACAACTTTCTTTTACACAGTTGGGGCATATTTCGCTACATCCAAACCCGAATGTTCCGCTCAGACAATCTATATAAGTGATAAAATTGTTCCTAAAATCAAACATCTTCACGCAAACATATAGTGATTCTGTTTTGCTTCTAATGACTTGGAAACATATATCTATGTAGCTTTTTCTTTTATTTGATGCACGTGAAAACAGCATTTTTATAGAATTTAGATGAAAAAAGAAGATTTATTTTGTAATGAAGATGTAAGGTACAGACTTTTGAAACATTCTTTACCAAAACATTGATATATTTTTAAATAGAATAATCATTTCCTGCTGAAAGTATTATCCTTTGTTGAAACGACCTTCTCATTTAGTGTTTTTGTTGAAACGACCTACTCATTCAGTGTTTTTGCTGAAACGACCTATTCAGTTAGTGTTTTTGTTGAAACGACCTTCTCAGTTAGTGTTTTTGTTGAAACGACCTACTCATTCAGTGTTTTTGCTGAAACGACCTATTCAGTTAGTGTTTTTGTTGAAACGACCTTCTCAGTTAGTGTTTTTGTTGAAACGACCTACTCATTCAGTTTTTTTTTTCGTTGACAAAACAGCATAAGGAAAATCTACATGATATTTATGAGATGAAGAGTCTACTAACCTTCACTACACGTGGGGCCCACACGCCCTCGTCCACATAGATCTCCAGGACAAGTTCCGTTTATCGGATCACAGGTACCTTCTGCACATCGGCAACTTTGACTGCACATGGACCCGAACGTTCCATTGGGGCACACTTATGACAAATTCAAACACATTTGATGAAACTTACGATATAGATAAACTGTATAAGAGCGCTATATGGTATCATCACACCTTTATACTAACGATCAACAGCAATTATTTAAATCTAGCTAAATTCATAACACTAGATATACGCTTGTGATATTGTATAAAAGACTCATAATTTGATTAGTTTCGTTAATCATTATTTTTCAGAGTGAGAATTGTTGGGTTTGGATATTTTTTCTTCTGTCTTCGCGAATTTACAATGAATTTAGAAAAAACTTAAAATCGCTAGGAAGTTTACCACTGATATTGTTTGATGAGTTTAGAATATTGCTGAAAACTTCAGGAGATGCGTGAGAGTATGGATCTGATCTCCAACCTTCTACTACTTTTGAAAGACATTTTAGGAGGTGATATTTGAACGCTTTACAAACTCTAAATGAAATCGACTCGTGATTTACGAACCTGTACTGCAGTTTAGACCAATCCAACCCTTACTGCATATATCGAATGGACACTGTCCAGTCACGACATCACACTCGCCAGTCTCACAGTGACAAACACCCTGACAATCTTGTCCAAATGTCCCGTTAGGGCAGGCTGGAATTCAAAACAGTACAGGGAGAATTTCAGAAGAATTTTCTTATGGCTGTGAAAAAAACACTGAACCTATAGATAATAGACATTGTTGCTTTTTGTTGAAATTAAATACCATTTAAAACATATGAATTTTCAAACAGGAATGTGGGAAAAAACACAGCATGTAAATTGCTAAATGTACATTAAGTTTGTTTATGTTTTGGTTCCTTTGAGTGTTGTATATCAGTATCATCATAGCTTTGGAAAGGTTATCACTCAATGAAATAGAGTTATTTCTTCCCCTCCAGAACATACAAATCGATAAGACAGGGAACAATATTCATGAAAATAAGTGTACTTTCTTATTATCCAGAAATCGTTAGAATTTAAATCATATTCCTTTGTAATCACGAAAATTCAAACCTGCGAAAATGACTCATTTTACAGTATTTTACTCACTCTCATTACAAAATTCTGACGTCTTGCCCAGTTCCTCACATCCGAACCAACAGGTACCGGTTTCTGGGTAACATAATCCGTCCCTACAGTAGTCGGGACAGGGCTGGTCACAGTTATCTCCCCATGTGCTGTTGCTACATCCTGGTATTTACAAACGAACAAACAGATTAAAACTATTTGTTTGTGGTTTGTTCCTCCTCGGATCGAAAAAGATTGTTGAATTTTAAGAAGATGGTGTTCACATACGTTGCAGAATTCTTCGTAATGTGCTTGGTATTGATATAATTCTATAATTAGATTTAAATACAGAAGAAGAAAAATAAGTGTATATTTTCCGACCTCAAATAATTTTATTATTTATTCATTTATTTAACTATTTTATTTACTTAATTATTTTTGTATTTATTCAAGTAAAGTAGTAAATATCCCATATTACCATAAACCTCCAGTTCACACAGCACAATTATGATTACGCCTTTCTTTCCAGGGGCGTGCGAACGCTCATCTTCAAATGTGACGTAACGTCCTTTTGTAAGACAGTCGAAAGAGACGGTTTTCTCTATGTTTTGGTCATTTGACTGATGGAAACACAGCTTCCCTTGTTTATATTGATCGGGTGTATCAGACACATACACTTTAGTGCCTTCTAGTAAAACTGCAAGAAAACATCAACTTAAAGATATATGGCACCATTACGGGACTATGAACCTCTTTTCTTAATAAGTTCCACAAGCAAAAACAAAACAAGAATAATTAGGTTTAGAGTTTTTCAGTAAAAAACTTAAAATATCTTGAACTGTTATTTGAAATATGTTTTTGGGGTTGGTGTTTCGGCCGTGGAAGCCTTTGTTATGTTGTAGTAGATTGTGGCTTCCTGACTGAATTCCATTCAAAACAATTTCTCATATCGTTGTGCAAAGTGTCATATGGAGGGATGGATACTTTTCGTTTTTACACGCCATTAATATATACATAATTTGAATCAACGAGTCTAGACTACTGCAATTTATTCAATTTTGCTAAGATCACTACATATTCAACAGCCGCTTTATATTTTTCTATATAAAGTTTCCGTTCTTTACATTGGAATACCAAGGGGACGACAACTCTGCACGAAAATTTAATAATGTTATTTTTAGTAAATGATAACAGACAGTATGTTACATATAAATAATACTTACTTCTTGACAAAACATCTACCACAATTTTTGTCACGATAGATTCTTCCACCAAATCTACCTGCCACAATGGGAAGGTGTTGGTTCCAGTTCCATTTGCTATACAAGAGCACTTCCATGGGTTACCACCCGCATACCGATTCCCGTCTGTAGCGAAACTTTCATTACAATAACCGAACTTCGGATCCACGAACTCCTGTTGTGTGTTCTGATAAGTTGGTTTATTTAATGCCAAATTAACTGTGAATGAACAAAAACATGCATTAAATGAATATATATATATACATTGTTCGTTGTTTTCTTACACTTATTAGAACCAAAACATTAATTATCGTTTCTTTTATCCAGTGTTACACGAAATTAATGTCTTGGGTCATTCTTGTAACCCCTGTTGTTGCAATGGAAAAGCTACTCGCGCCTTTCCCTCATGTCGATGATTACCGAAAATATCCGACAACTCCAGAATCTTCTGTATACAAAAATATTGTCGATTGAGTATGTTAAATTGTTTGTTCGTGAAGCAAGTTGTTTATTAACAGATTTTTTTTACTTAGTGCATGACAGACCAACTTTGACTGGTATATTGTATAACAGGCTACTTACGAATTGATCCATATATTGTCATTCAAGAGACTAATTGTAACCTCCTCTACTCATCGACAGACATTCAAACATCCAGATCATAACATCAGTAAACATTGTATTGTCGAACTTAGGGTCAAACCTATTCATCCTTTTTGAAGTACACATGTTCTACATTCTTCGTAAAACAACGGTTGATAACCTTTTTTCATACTGATGTCACGGGATTGACTCAGGGAAATGAACGGAACGCACGAACGAACGAATGAATACCTTCCTGCAGCTGGGATCCATTCGAATCATAACAGCGATTTTTTTCTTTAAATCGGTCACATGTACAAAATATTTGGTATAGTTATATTATCAACACTGACAACTTCTCAACGTTGCCAATACCTGGTGTGTCATAACTGTGACAAATAAAACAATTTTACACATTCATGTATAGAACTGGATGTTTTGTTTGTTTTTTTTTTATTTCCCCCTAAATTAGTGGTAGCAAAATTAGATATTTAACACTCTTTGGTTCAACAAATTTTGGAAAGGCTATCGAATATCCGTTATAGCTTGTTTCATAGAAATCATATTCAAAGCGACCTAACTGACGATTTTCTATGTCTTATTTCATTAAAGTCATGACATTAACTTTAAATCTATAAAAATGATACAGAATATCGCAGGCGAAAAAATCTTTTTAAAAAATCAACATTTTTATTGTTCTCTCAGACACACTTACGTCTATAACAAGCAATCACATAGGATATAGCAAATTTAAGTTATATTTACAAAACTAAGCTCGATTTCGTTATTTTTGATTCACTGGTCAATAGTATAGCCAGCGGTAATTTAACAGGCCCGCCTATCTCCCATACTGATCACACTGACCAGCGGTCATTTCGTTATCGATGATCATCGGTCGGCACGCATCTACATCGGATTCCAGTGACCTGCGTAGTTATAAGGGTAGTCGATCAAGCTATGAATTAGCTATCGATTTTTTCCCAGATTGTGAGAACATTTGGTATTATTGCAAAATGTATCAAGCTAAGTTATGTAGAACTCTCCACTTGGAATCACAATCTAATTATACATAAATGCTTCTATGTAACCCAGAATAAGTATACTTACTTTAGGGTAAAATAAAAAGAAAATCCGTTCAGAGCTTTCGACTGTTAAAGCTTTGTTTTAAGGTGTGGTACTCATTTTCGTGTTTCTAATTTAGTTATAACAAAAAAATAAATAAATAAAACAACAACAACAAAACAAAAAAAGAAACAAAAACAAATACAAACAAATAAAAAAAACCCCATAAAATCTCGTGGATGATTATTGCTTAATAAATTTGAAAAATATTATAAATTTGAAAAAAATACTGTATGTACTTCACATATAAAGATAGATGTGTGCACGTAACCTTCATGATGGTCTCAGTTTCTGCAGTCTTAAATTTCACTCGATATTTCAGCGTAAAAAATGCAAGTGTTAGTATTTTTAATTTTTATTATTCTTATCACAAATATAGAAAATTAGATATTTTCATCCATAAAGTACTAATACATATTCATCATATTCCAAGAAAATACTCATTAGTGCTTTAAAACCTACATATATGATGTGCAATGAACCGAAAGTAGTTAAGAAACTATCAGTGTAAATAAATAGAGCTCGTCATAGCTGATTGACTTGGCTAAGAAATTCATAATAATGCGAACGAATTAACGAACGAGTGAAGGGACGAACGAACGGACAGATGAAAGAATGAATGAATGAATGAATGAATACTAAGTTTTGAATTTCATTGTGTTCTGGTTTCAATAGTTTAAATCAGTTATCGCCCTTGTTGATGGTTATGTAAGTATTTTCTTTATATTTTCTTCCCCAAACCACAAAAATAAAACATCGAAAAGAGATAAATATTGCGTATTTTTAAAAAAATTATTCTATAGCACTACCTATGTATAATATAACATATAAAAGTAAAGGAAGTGAAATTTACATTACAGAATTATTTGTTTATGTAATTAACCATTCATTCACTTTCATACTATCAAACTGATGTAAAGGTAAAAATTCCATTGTTCTAAGCACATTCAGAAAATAGCATATCATAAATGAAAAATGAAAAAGTAATTAAAGCATAAAAACACTTACCAAAAGCCGAAGAAACTGTGGATAAACACACTAGAAACACAAATCTAGAGAGAGCGTCCATCCCTCTCGCTCCGACCAGCGGTCAAGGGTACTTAGTGAGGTGTTGTGTTCCGACAACAGGTGGTCGTAGTGCCTAGATGGCCTGGAGACTTACAAATGATGACTTTCATAGATAACCGGAGACATTGTAGTAAACATAACTTTTATTGTACTTTTATAACACAACATTGCCTTATCAATAAAGGCGATATCTTGTTAACAAACTTCCTATCATCTTTGTTTGTCCAGTGATCAATATCGTTCTAGGTATGTCTTAGTCAAAAGTTTCTTTAAAAAAACATCAAAGAAAAAACAAAACGAAACGAAATAATAATAATAATGTATACATCAAATAAATAAACAGATAAATAAATACATTAACAGGCTAGTAAAAAAAACACACAAAAAAAAAAAAAAAAAAAAAAAATAAAATCTAAATAAATAAACGTGTGTTAAATAAACGACATTCATACAGAAGTAGAGTTAACATTTATTTACGAAGCGTACGAACATATGGTAAATAGTTGCAGCTAAATGAAAACAACGCTTGATAACCGATGCATTTCAGTGATATAATGAAATATAATCCATCACGTATTTATTTTATTTTTGTCGTCGGTTACATGAAATGTGTCCCTTTCGAGCATCTTATGATAATTAAGAGAATCATAAGGTTCTCGGTATCTGCCTCTTTTTTAACGAAATAGAATAATTATCCTGAAATCCTGAAACAATGATAAACAGTATTTTTTCCAAACTCGATTATAACATTGTTATAAGTTACGTATGAACACACATATACATGATATAAAGCGAGAACTATTGAATAATTCCTCGTGAGTGAAATAATTTCAGACTGGTACCTGTGGAATCAAATTGCTTATCCGCATCATACCCATTAGATATTGTTCACCCGAGGTAAAACACTCACAGGTGTCATTCCAAATATTTTTACGATAAGACAAATTTACCAGTAGAGCCTCGAGCAAACTGTCTGGCGAATTTTTTCAACCCGAATGGTATATAGAAGCCCGAAATAACATCGCTCTGTGTCGAATTTTTCTTATATACAACCAATGAAAAAAGGTAGCTTGTTAGAAATCTATTTTCGTTTTAAGTCGATCCGTGGCGTTTCATAGTTTAAATTGACCAGATGCGAGTCGTTTATATTTTACCGAATATGTAAAGCTTCTTGCTGACCCGGAATGTGTATTGTTTCATGTATTTTCCTTTTTTGACGTTTCTCATTAAGTGGATATATTTCATTTATCTTGTACCTCTTGGTTGGCCTGTGTTAAGCTGTGCATGGTTATTTCTTACAATCAGATATGTATGGTTTCAAGAAACGTGAACGAGTACATTAAGTTGACAGAACACGTGTCGTTTTATATAGGTATATCTGTTTTGCTATAAACTTTTGGATGAATGACTATTCCAGTTGACCGGACGTATGTCATACCTAGGTGACCGGAAATGTGCCAGTTCCTATTGACCTAAGTAGGGTGTTTCCCTATGTCGGATTCCAATGACAACAGGTGATAGAAAACAGCTCTGGATTAAAATGCGAGACAAGACACCGAGACCGCATGTGTACGGGTCGAGATTGGCATCATACCTTCTGGGCACGCGCAGCACTCCTTAGTGCGCATGACAAACGCTTTCGGGTGTTAGTAGGAATTCAACGTATTATGTATAGCTGTCACAACAGGGTTATCACGGATCCCTGTTTTAATTGGAAATCTCATAGAAAATACATATTTTAACAGCTATGAAAACAAAATCACTTGCATAAAACTTACAAGGATAGGGGGAAAAAGGACAATAAAAACAGCAACCCTTATATACACTGTTGCAGAGTCGAAAATTAATTGTGATATAATTATCTTTAATGTTTGTTTTGAACGACAGGATGGTACCATGAAAGAAAATAAAAGCATTTCGGTATTCTTCTTAAATGTTGCATATTTTGAAAGACTGTTAATTGTGTCTCGCAATTGTTATGGTTAAAGACAGACCGTCGGTATACCTGTATCTTTTAATTATCTAGAATAGATTCCAGGGAAGCAAAAATACATCCTGGTTACTTAGAATAACTTATGGTATAAATTTACTGTGTCGATTTCCTTTTTATTCTATGAAATTCCATCACAAAATGATTTGAAGTATTTTGAAAACGGAATGAAGTACTACTATAGAAGGTCCAAATTAGGCTCCGATTGCTTGTAAGATTATAGAATACTCCGGCAGGGGAAGATAATTATCAAAAGGTCTTATATAAACATATGTAGATTCAAAGGGGCCAGATTTCGGAGGTAAAATAAAATGAATAAATGAAAAAATAATAAGAAATAATAATTAACAAAACAAAAAAATAAAAAATAAAATAATAATAACTTGTTACCACTCCTGGTCCTAATTCTTTATCTAATACCTACATTTTTGCACACTGCTAAAGAAAACAAATATTCTAAGCGTATCTCGTTGAAACTAGCACTCGATTTCAAATACGGTAACTTACTTTCAATTTTAGTGTCATCCTGATGCTAACACTCTTACAAACAAAACGTTCCTGTCTATATTAAAGTCATGACAAGATTTAAGAAGTGAATGCTTTAAAAGTGAAATTCCAGAACAATGCCATTTACGCTGAATGCTTCATTAATAAACAGGCTTTGGAAAAAAATTTGCGAGCTTTCGAAAACATCTGTTTCCTAAATCAAACATTCAGTGCAAATGACTGACGACAAGTCACCCTTTGGTAAATGGACGAACGCGTAAGGTCAGGTGTGAAATATTTTCGTCCCAAAAGTATTTTTATAATGTAGTCTGATGGACGATTGATATTTCTTCAATTCTGCCTCTTGTTGGCTGATAAAATGGGGTCATAAAGATGACTCAGCTGGAATCCTCCCCTCCCGACACACACACCTTCCAGTTCTCCTCCCCCCTTATTCCACATGGATTCCTTGATCTTTCTATGTTTCGAGTTATCCCCTCCCATCAGTACCCTCGTGTAACTGCTGTAGCTCTGTATGTTGGCATGGTCTATGAGGGTTGATATATTACATTTGTTTCTGAAACTTTCCTGCTGTTGCTTGTGAAAACTTTGGTTTTCGATTTTTAACAACGTCTGACAGATGTTCCGAGATGCGTGTCCCAAACTGTTACAAATGTTGCAAGCATGTTAATAAACCACGCCCATTTTGCATTCTTTCGCCACATTGTCCTTGGAATACACTACCAGTAGTTCATTGGTATTCTATAGGGACATTTGGGTGCTGATGCAAAGTTTTCGCAAAACTGCCATCAACACCTCCTTGCTCATTCTGGTATATGCCGTGCTCGACTCCGTGTCTTCATCACCTGTGTACAAATTGTATTGGATAACAGCTACTTTTGTTATATCATTTTAAGTTCATGTTAAAGTAAGTATTCAATGGCTGAAGGAGTATTTCCAAAGTAGCCTACATGTCCAGTTTGCTTGTTTTTTCTGACAGACGAACATGACTTTGTATAAATACATTGTACATTGATCAGCCGATATTTGTCATTATCCAGTGACAACGACTTCAGTCTCAGTTCCTCGTCTTTCTTGTTCGTTACGGAACTATTTTCTTATTCTTACGTTGGTTAATAGGTAATCGATGATATCTGGAGATATAGAACTGAACTCTGGCCTATGTCTGCTAGCTCGTCTACGTTACCTATGCTTTGTGATCAGTTAGGTACAGATACTAGTTATTATCATATCATCATAATGTTCAAAGTATTAAACAAAAACTTAATATTCCTTACAAAGTAATATAATAATCTTATTTTTAACAACGAAATGTTTAATTCAAATGATATTTCATGCCACTTAAGATAACGCAGAAATTCTGACCCCTTCTGCCCCCGTACATATGATCAACGGTGGCATGTATGTATCTGTATAGGAAGGTATTCCTACAAACTGAAGAACAGATTAGAACTAGCTACTATTCAATGTGTCAGAAAATGCATAATGTTCAGAAAAAAACCCGTTTATATTACAGTTTTGACGGATCCCAGACTCTCTTGTCATCATATGGTCCATGACTTACTATTCTATTGTAAACACATAGGATACAGGCATATCTCGTATTGTGATAGCCGGTGATTTCAAAACAAATATCGTAACAGAATACCACTAGTCACGTTTACGTGAAGTACCTCATCCTTTTAACCTATATCAGCTCATCTAGTCCCGACCTGTTATTGTCTGCACTAGTGATGATACCATCATCAGTAATGTTGGAGAAGGCTTCCTTGACCAATCGGCTACATTGTCCTATTTAATGTTCTTTGAATACTATCAAGCCAGTGCAGTGGGTGTAAAGCGTAACGTCTGGCTTTTTGACAGAGGAATGATTTAGTCAAGGACAAACTAAACTCACTTAATTGGAGTTCATTAGGTGAATTTGATATTAATGACGCTGTCGAAACGTCATTTAGACTTTGCTTGCTACTGCCAAATTTTGTTTTCTAAATATGGCAATAATCTATAGATATAATAAATTTCCGTAGAGCCTCGGGTTAGACAACAAAAAAATCACTCCTCGGGTTGGAGATTTCTCTATCATACCCTCAGGGTAGGGGAAGATTCTATTAGTCTCAGACGACGATGAGAAAAAATATATATTTTGTGTTCAGCCAATAGTCTCTCATGGCTCTAATATTGATATCACATTCCTTATCTGATATTAACTTCACAATTCATTATGTCAGAGCAGCTATTCTAACCGTTCTAGGTCTAATGGTCCTGACCTGGTAAGTACTCATCTACTTCAAGTTCCAGTAGATATCATATATGTCCCTTGATGTAATCTCTTAAATAAGTGTCCGGAGTATTCCCGGGCCAACTGGAGTGATAGAGTTTGCTTACAACTTGTTTCACAATAATCGTAAAGCTAAACAAAGCTTATATTATGGATCTATAATTCATTCCATAAATTTCTGAATTAATGAGAAAGTCATTGGAAAGTTACTCTATCTTGTCTGCGGATATCTTTCATTTGTATATGGTCTGCGTTGTTATGTAACTAAATACGGCGTGGTATAAAGTTTCTATAAATATAACAAAAAAACAAAAAAACAAAAAAACAACAATAATAATAATAACAAACCTACAAAAAAAAAAAAAAAAAAATACAAAAACAAAACAAAACAAACAGCTTTAATTTCCTTCACATACATTTACTTTTATCATAAAATTAGTTCTTGATATGCCAATATTCATAATAACTTCAATAAGTCAAGTTTCCAGGATAAAATGATGATTTTTTTCTCACAGTGGGTTCTCGCCGAGAAAACGCCTACTAATCGTTATCTAACAGGTAGGATTATAAACGTCCAGAAACCGGGATGGCTGAATATCGTACTTAAGTAATATGGAATACAACCGACTCCGAAGGTCAGATTGTAGCTGCTGACTGTTGTCTCGCCTAAGGATCCACGCGAACTCTATAAAAAAGTACAAGATATAGCATCAAGTAGTGTTGCAAAAATAAATATGAGTTCTCATGCGCCAAAGAAAACACCGAATACGCATGCGTCGAAAGACACACACACACACACACACACACACACACACACACACACACACACACACACACACACACACACACACACATATATATATTTATTGTTATTACGTAAACGAGCGCATGGGAAAGTTGAATTTATGTAATCAAATGAATGCTGCTTGGTTTGGTTTGTCTTTTCCAGTAACAATGCAATCCAGATGTTGGATGCTCTAAGGACATGATGTGTCTACATTTGTGGGAGGAAAGATGGACTTTAAAGCCCCAATATACGTAACATTCACCAAAAATTTAGTGTAGAATCACACATAATTATTGAGATATTCTCTAAGATGTAGTTAAAATTAAGTTATTCAAACAATAGTTACCATGACTTTGTGCATAAAGTATTGATATATGAGCAGTTGAAGCTCGCTATTTGTAAACAACCTCCATTTTAAACACGCGCCATCGAAATTACGATTGTTGCCGAACCACGTCGGAAAGTTCATGACCTGATCTCGCGAGAGTTGAGGTTTCTACTTATAGAGGAATCACATGCAGATATGTCTACGGTAAGTCTTGTGGTAGACTTGATGTATTCCTGTGATAAACATTCAGTTTTTGGGAAATTATTAGAAGGAATAATTAGTTTAGAAACGACATGACGCACAATTATAACGTAAGAATTGAGAACTGGCCTGATGTATGATTAGAAAAAAGGAAGCGACTGGTGGACGTCGGTACTGTGTCTGCCATGTTTACACACATGGAATATGCGCATGCGCAATGTCATCGCTACGAGCGGTAATTATGAATTAGTGTGGGTCCCATATTGTTTATTTTCCGATTTTTTCAATTTTTATTTAAATTGAAAACAGTCGGTTTTATTTTCTTTAATTAAAGGAAAGTATTTGTTTTGTTACATATATTACGGGGAAAATAAGATAAAGTTTGTTTTTTTATAGTATATTGAGGCTTTAAGTAAATCTTGCCCGATTTGAGAGTTTTGAAATGTTTTTTCGCGAATAAATTGTGTGCCTAGTAGCTAGGCGGGCTGGGCTGTAAATGATGAATAATTAATTTTCGTTTGAGAGAATCGAATTAGAACATAAAGGATTTTCCCTTGTTTTACATGCTGAGGTGGGGTCTCCTAGAGGTAGTGAGTTAATGACCAATACACGACAGGCATGTTGCATATCGTTCAGAGCAATCAGGGTAGAGCGTCCTACCAACGACACAACAGACCGGTCCGTTTCTCGGCTTCCTGGGAAAATCACAACGTCGAGAGGAGAATTGTCGGACCATGCACCACGGATCTCCACCTCAAGTTGGGAAGGCCTACGCTCTACCGACTAATCTATCGGCTCACCTGTCTCTACTGGTCTCAGCGGTAGTTATCGCGAGTAGGAATTCTTTTGAAAGGAAGACGATTTTAGACATGTCGTCGGGGTAAGTATTGGTTGTCACTGTTCGTCGATCACTTCATCAGCTTTGCGATTGGTGAATACTCAAAAGAGGCGGAGTCGAAAGGTCTTTTACAGCTTGTTTAATTTTTAAGCACCAATGGCTATGTATATTTGCGTATATTAATACAGTAACATAACTTACCGACGGCGAAGAGATTAAAGTAGGACTGACACGAGTAGACAAGGGCATAGTCTTTATAATCAGTAGCAAGAATCAAGTATGGACCGGAACCACTGTCTGAGAATGAGAAAAAAAAAACCCTTTAAACTCACCTTACATATCCATACCTGATGCTTTAGAACCGAATTTTCAATCACATGCTTTCTTTTTCTTGTGAATAACACAGATGTACTTTGTAGATAGAAGTTGGTATCCTCTGTATCTGATTACTGGTTTTACTTCAAATTCCTTCTCCAATAATGACTGTTAGGACGAATTTCTTAAATAATGTGTTTAAGGTTGTACAAAAGACACACAAGTGAAGAGCAACTTTAAATACAAATTAAGAGCTAGATACAGTAGAGTCAAACAATGAATTAAACTGCATTATACAGCTGTTTGGTCCTTCTAGGACTCGTCAGTGATGTTACATCATACAACTGTTTCGTCCTTCTAGGACTCGTCAGTGATGTTACATCATACAGCTGTTTCGTCCTTCTAGGACTAGTCAGTGATACTAAGAACCTAAGTTTTGTTTGTTCTCGTGTGATGACGTTGTTGAGTATTTTATTCACGTGAGTTGACGGTATTCACAACTTATGTTTGAAAATAATTTTAGGAAAAAATCCACTATCGCTGTGATTTTTTCTACTTACCACCGAAACTGACGGATAATCTGCCTGGCTCTGCAGGATCCGGTACCGTGGCTCTTCCAACAGATACTGATGGAGTACGGAACCTGTGAAAAAAACATAATTCTAAGTCGTCAGCTGTTTTTCTTTATCTGAAACCTAAAGTGAAAAAACAAAAACAATAGGTGATAATGCAGCGAAGGAATGTGAATACTACCTGAGAAATGTAAGGTGGGCTACACATTTCATTTCACCAAAGATAGTCATGTTTAGAAATTATTAAACATGAATTATTTTTTTATGAGAAACAGTTTTTGGGACGTAATGTAAAAGCTAAAATCAATGTTTTTTTACACTTTTTTTTTCACTATAGCTGTCAGAAGATATGTAATGGGAAATGTCGTAATATTCTTTTTTATTTATTTCATTTGTGAATAACAGGCGTTTTTTCATAGTGGTCGTTTTTTCAACAAGTGTCCACCTTTTTATCAACAAGTACATTTGTGTACTTATGAAAAATGACGTAAAATATAAAAACAAAAATTCCAATTGATTTTCCTACTATTGAACCCCATTGCGACAAAAAGATAAAAACAATTGACAACATTCTGAGCTTTTCCTTGAGACTAAATGCTTCCATAGAGGAACATCAGGAGATATTTTCAGATATTTTCTAGGATGGAAATGAAAGCGTCTCTGGACGTTATATTTCGTACTTTTCACCCCAAGAGTCAGGATTCACGTTGTTCAAGTTTAGGATAACTCAGCAGAAATGGGTGATTTTGAATCTATCTAAGACTTCCAGAATTGTTCTAAAGAAATGTAAAGCTTTAAAACTTTAACAACTGGGAAAAAGTTGAAATTATTAACGCTTTTGCCCAAATCGCGATGCACTCCGCGGTCAAAAATTTAGTCCATGAGCAAAATTTCTACAAAACATATAAAGCGCCATTTTTCTACTTATGAGTACAGGTTTTAGCTAAAAAAAGTATATATACTGAAAAGTCGAAATTTATTGTACAGAATATTTCCTACTTTCAACAGCACAGTGTATATAATTTCTTTTATACCATGTGATAAATTATCTAGTAACTTTTGCTTGGTGCTATTTTCATCAATTACAAAGTAAAGGAGATAAGAAAACAAGAAATTTAACATCAAATTGTGTGAAAAACGCCAATAAACGACAAAATACCAATATATGGAGGATCATGTTTTAATATACATGTGCTTAATTAATATTTCAAAAAAGGTGCATTACGGAATAACGGATTGAAAAACATTTCATTTCACATAACATTATACAGATATAGCCTTGTGAGAGGTTAAAACAAGGTTGTATCTATTAAAAGAAATCAATCAACAGGAGAGTAAATTTCAATATAAAATTATTTCTTAAGAGCGTGAAGTACATGTGTATAATCGATACCAAGGTGCTGATAAACAGCGGCGTCCAGAACTACTGCAAACATCGGGGATCTAAATACAGAATCCTTCCAACTGCAATCTCGAAAGATCGTTAAAAACACTTCAATACAAAAATGCAAGTAGATGAAGTATTCAAGGTTAGCTTACAAAAGATCAACATTATCTTTTTTTAGACAAATATTGAATGCAGATAATCTGCGTATGATAAAACTGTCAGATATCATCAGATAGCCTGACGTCACAATTACCATAGTCGTGTAATGTTGTTAATAACTCCTACTACGTCATACTGTTCCAGCAGGACGTCACAATTGTCATCGTCGAGCAACGTACTTAATAGCTTTTTACTACGTCATACTGTTCCGGTATGACATCATACCTACCACTATCGTGTAGCGGTGTTAGAAAATCATTCACCTTTGTGACCTAATTTTCAGACATTATTTCACATTTACTATTTTTGGATAGCGATGTTAGTAGCTCCCTTGCATCATACTTAAACAGTATGACGTCATACTCACCTACGTCAGATAGCATTGTTAGTAGGTACCTTATACTTACTTTACGTCTCGTTCTATTGTTAAGTTACACTTACAATCTGTTTATGCCTGAGTTAGTGACTCGAATGTCTCCATTTTGTAATAAGAGGTAGTTGGCCTTAACACATGTCAATCCGAGTTCAAATATGGCCGGAAACCTTTTTTGCTCATACCAGTCACCTTCGTACTATAAAACAAAAACAACAACAACAATAATAATAATGAACATATTTCGAAAAAAAATCGATATAGGCGATATATTGGTTTAATCTTATTTACATGGTCGGTATGTGCATACGAATGAGTAATTACGGAAAAGAGTAAATCGTCATCAGAAATTTTGATCTCTGTTTCATACCTCCAACAAAGAAGAGTTGTGATTGTCTGATAGCTGACAACAATTAAAACGTCAGGAATCTTGTCCACACGCCTTACGGCAAGCAAGTGCATAATGTACTCTGTATTTCATTGATATCGGTGGAGGCATATACATTAGCTTACAAGAAATGAAGGATTATTTGGGTACTAATGTATTTATACATAGCCCCTCATCATCAAATATGTACATTATTCTGCTAACTGTATTGACAGTGACACTTTAAAATATATATATTAATCATTCATTAACCATGTTCCTCGTACAGACGTTAATGTACCCACCAAATATGGAAATTAAGCACTGAACATACGCTTACTTCGATTTTTTCATCAACATAACCTACCGTGATAGCCTTGAACCAAACTGTATGATAAGGATGTTAATTTCCATTTCTCTATTGTAAATTTTCCTTTTCTGGATAGCAACAATCCTGAATCCCCAGCCTATTGTGTTTATACGTCGCAGTTGATTCGATATTCAAAGGATTATTCCCAATGTCATGTGGCAGTTGACAGGAGAATTCACAATACAGGGTTTCGAGATATGCAGGTTAATGCAGAGTACGAGAAATTATTTGATTCATGCTACCTATAGTATGGCTGGTGGTTCCGGTGTTGTTTACTCTGTTCACATTTAGGAATGTGACATTATTTAGTTGGATTGAACAAGATAAACATTGCAGGTGTCGTCGATATAGCAGAAAACGCCAGTTCTTTCGGAATCTTATTCTCCCGGTACAGGAGTCTTGGTGTATACATTTTGTGTCATATTTCGCCCGGGTTTCATCGAATTATAATAACATGTCGGCATTTTCTTTGTTTTTTTCTTTATACAAATTGAGAAATGGAGAAACAAATGATAACTAAAATAGCAGTTACCGATCTCCCACACAGAGTTGTCGGTGTCATAATACATATGCGTACAAAAAAATACTATACTAAAAGGATAAAGAAACGCAGGGTGAACTTTAAACCAGAAATTAAGTATGATATCGGGCTTCATTTAAAACGAAATTTTGTGTACTTACAGATAAATTAAAGCTTAAAAATTTCCAAAGTCTGTATTTTGCATCTGACAATTGGTTTAGAGGTACTACCGATTAAATTGAATGGACCCATAGGATTTTGAAATTGAAATTGAACTGAGTCATCAATATCTTGTGTGTCCGCCGTTTGCTGTGGTCACGGCCCTTATTCTTCTGGTCACGACGTCGGTAGACACGTTGTCGGCCGTCAGATCGATAAAGACAGAATCGAGACTCGTCCGTGAAGAAAACTTGTCTCCACTGCCTCAGTGGAAACCGTCGTGGAGCATGTGCAGCGACCCAGGCCATACGACGCTGACGTCAAGCAGGGGTAAGGTGTGGACCTACGTAGGGGCGACGTGCTCTTACACCAACTTCTCGTAATCGATTCCTTACAGTTTTTGAACTTATAGGGCGCCCATGATTTCCACGAATATAAAGTGCACTCTCAACGGCAGTAAGCGCCGATTACGCACATGAGAGACGACGATATAGCAATCCTGACGTCGTGACGTCACGCGCGGACGTCCTAACCTAGGTCGATCGGCCAATCGCCCAGTTTCCCGAAGACGTCTTACAAGACGTTCTATGGTGGAAACATTAACACCAAAGAGCCTAGCAACCTGATTTTGCAGCTGTCCTTGCATCAGCATCTGAATGGCCTGACCCCTCTGAACTTCTGTAAGTCGTGCCATTTTTAAAACGAATCAAATTCTCAATTAATTTAAGGGAAGCAGTTGGTCTGTATAAAGACTAACGAAGATGACTTGACCAACGCTGCACGAGACCAGAACAACACGGTATACGAGATTCTTGTTTTTTCCTTCCTCCATTTACCAGAGCTGTGCACTGTACCGTGACTAAATTTTCGATACATGACAAGGTGTAATATGACCTAATTACTCAATCCACAAAGTTTCACTTTATTTGGAGAACGCGTTTTCAAAATATCGGAATAAATATTACCCTGCGTTTCTTTATCCTTTCAGTATATCTATTACCGAAATCGGACTGTGTTGAAATTACAACCATTCAGAGGTCCCGACAGATATGTATGATCTCACTCAAACCCCAAAAAACTCAATTGTTTGTCTACAAATCTTCGCGAGTTTTACTAAGTTTTATGAAGTTGTCCCCAGTATTCTCTGAGATTCCTAATGGACGAAAAACAACAACAAAATACGTAACGACAAGAAAGAGCACGTCTGGTGTTATCTATTCTTGGTGTTGTGTTTTTATGAACATACGACTTCTTCAACTATTCATCTCAACATATACTCCTACAACCTGAGGGAATTCAATAAATGGTTCATCAAAAACAGAGTTATTGCCCTTTATTGATATTTTCGTGGTGCACACGTAAATATCCCCGACAAACCGCGCACTTAAAACATGAGATTCCCCGGATATGTATTGAGACCGTGCCCCAATAGCCATATGTGTTGGTAAGATGTTAAGCAGTATAAAGCCAAGCTTGTACATATATACACGCACCTTATTGGAGTCTACGGCTTGTTTACAACAATTACCTACTTACATACATGTACCTTATTGGTCAGAAGTTTGAGACTACAGCTTGTTGACAACAATTTACCTTTGTACATACATGTAACTGATGGGGGAAAGGAAACCACTATGAAATCATATTGTATCTTAGGGTCGGCGATGATTTGTCAGACATACACAATGGTATACAAACAAAATGCATGTAAGATAAACAGCATTTCTAAAAAAAAAAGAAAAAAAAAAGCAAACAGTAAACAAACAGCAAACGTAGTGTATATATTATCTTGAATTGATATAATACATGGATAAGTATTTGTAAACAATTTATCTAGACGTAGTGACAATACAAGTATCAAAAAGACCTTTTTTGTACATATACTTCATAATCCATTCATTTTATGTTTGTTTTTATATAATATCATTGTTTTGTTTGAATGAATGAAAATTGTTCCTTTTAAATGTATAGATTGTTTAAACATATTTATTGCCAAAAGATAGAAAAGGGATTATGCACAAGTTATTGTAACTTATCAACGCCTTCAGTATACGATGTATGAATAAAGAAGGAATTAAGATCCAAAAGGAATGGATAGATTAATGTTAGTTATGCAAAATAAGTGAAATTAGAGTAGCTTGATGAAATGAAATATCAACAGATTCGACGGAAATTTTGATAGATTGTATAAATTAGAAACGTAATAAATGAATAAATAAGTAAAAAATAAGTACGCATAGCCTATTGCGACGGCCTTTCAGACCAAATTTACAGATCCTGGCCTTCTCATTGGCTGAAATATCGAAAAGAGTTAGAGCCCTCTAGCGGCAATTTTCTGCGTGAATAATGCCGATCTTTCAAATCGCTATTTTAAAAGCATCCAAAATTAGTTTATTTTTTAATAACAATACGATTACTATATATTTCAAAAAAGAAGCACCGTGTGGTTGAACTATTGATAAATTTGGAACAATATATTTTACGGAATTCTCGACAGGACGTAAGCGTACAGAACACTGTACGTGCGAGTTGATAAGAAGCTAGTCTGGGGGCTTGGTTTGAATTATCAACTAACAGCACTTATAAACAAACAAGACTTACAAACAGAACATCAATTTTGCTTTAATCCTTGTCGTTGTGGCAAGATCGTCTTAATACATAACATCACTTTACCTCAGTTGACGTCACCGAATTGGACTGTTCGTCCCACGCACACACCAGCCGATATGACACTTTTTCTGGTTTTTCACACCCACCGCCATGACACTTTTTCAAGTTTTTGAAGGTAAAAAGTTTGCGCTTCGTAGGCAAGGTACATTTGGTGCTCATGATTTATGAATAATATATTTTTAATACTGTACTGATCATGACGTTGACTCTGTTATGACTTTTATTTTTTGTCTTTTAGTTTTATTTGATGAAGGTTGATTGTGCTGATTTCTCAAGGTTTGTTAATATGCATCAAAGTTCCTTGAAATGAAAATATTCCTTCAAACAAAGCGCGTTTAAAAAAATCCAAAATATTCATGTTTATAATTATCAATTAACTAGAACGAAACATTTCCATAACATATTTATTCATTTATCGTGTCATGGTGACATTATCTAATGCATTAGAGATCAGAAATAGTAGTAGCTATAGTGAAAATATAGTAAATTTTATATATACATGGACATCTGGTTTAATCTCAAAGAACTATGTCTTTATAGACATAATTACCGGAAGAAAAGTCTAACCATGATACTTCAAGGAAGATAGGCATGTAAATACATTTAATGTAATTACTTACACTTTAATCTATCTGAAATGCTGTGTACACCTTATCTACTTTCCTCAACTACAAATATAATTGTAATAAGTAAGGACTATTACTTTGCAATACATTCAAAATAAAGAAGTAGGTATAAAGTCCTTTCGATTTGTCTAAATCCTCATATTGATAGGATAGTAATTGCAACATCTTGGGTATTTCAAAGGTTTTATTTAGTCAACTTTATCATAGAGCTATTTATCATTTGGCTTGTTGGCGATAAATATATGGTTGTGTGTATTTTGTTATTTTTTTTTACCTATTTTGATTTGTTCACATCATTGTCGTCAAATTTCAAATAAGAATTAAAGAAGATATAAAATCGCTTAAAATTAAGAAAAATAGCCTCTGGTTCTCTTATTTTAGTAATTTTTGCATTCCAAAGTGTAGGAGTATGGGGAAAGTAATAGAGCTTTGCGGTTATTTGTGAACATTTTTCAATACGTTTAGCCTTTCAGTACTTTGATTTAAATGTTGTAATTATGACAAATAACATAATACCTACTGCTGTGATGTTGAAATCTGCTTTCGTGTTAACATTTGGACATGTTCGTCGGAATCGCTGACCTTCTCCTACTGAAAGAACAGCTGAAAAGATGGCGAAGAAAAGAAATATCTGCTTCATTGCGTTTCACTAATATTACCACGTCAGACCAGCGCTTGGCCTCCCAATGCCATTCATTATATACACATGTTACAGCGACTAGACACCATATCCAATGATACCACAAAGATATGTCCATTAGTGAAGTTACATGTATTCACATATGTTACACAACTATATAAATGGTCACTTAAAGACTAACATGGCCTTTGGGAAAAAGAAGAGAGAAACTGACGTCATAGAGCACGAAGAAATCGGGATATACGCGATGGGGTCATAGTTATGTGAAGAAACATTCCATTGACTTTTCTCTTGTTCATTTAGTTGTTAAATATCGACATATTTCACGCAAATTGTGATATTCAGAACAATCAATTGAGTAGTGTATGTTGGAAAACCATAACGTAACTATATAAATACTGAAAATTCTAACGAATTGATGCATTAACATGTACTATCATCTAATTATATCGTGTACTGTCATCTAATTATAACATGTACTATCATCTAATTATAACATGTACTATCATCTAATTATACCATGTACTGTATATAACATGTACTATCATCTAATTATATATATAACATGTACTATCATCTAATTATATCGTGTATATAACATGTACTATCATCTAATTATATCGTCATCTAATTATAACATGTACTATCATCTAATTATACCATGTACTATCATCTAATTATAACATGTACTGTCATCTAATTATAACATGTACTGTCATCTAATTATATCGTGTATATAACATGTACTATCATCTAATTATACCATGTACTATCATCTAATTATATCGTGTATATAACATGTACTATCATCTAATTATATCGTGTATATAACATGTACTATCATCTAATTATACTATCATGTACTGTCATCTAATTATACCATGTACTGTCATCTAATTATATCCATGTACTATCATCTAATTATATCCATGTACTGTCATCTAATTATATCGTGTATATAACATGTACTGTCATCTAATTATATCGTGTATATAACATGTACTATCATCTAATTATACCATGTACTATCATCTAATTATAACATGTACTATCATCTAATTATACCATGTACTATCATCTAATTATACCATGTACTGTCATCTAATTATACCATGTACTGTCATCTAATTATACCATGTACTATCATCTAATTATACCATATACTGTCATCTAATTATAACATGTACTGTCATCTAATTATAACATGTACTGTCATCTAATTATAACATGTACTGTCATCTAATTATACCATGTACTGTCATCTAATTATATCGTGTATATAACATGTACTATCATCTAATTATATCCATGTACTATCATCTAATTATATCGTGTATATAACATGTACTATCATCTAATTATATCGTGTATATAACATGTACTATCATCTAATTATACCATGTACTTATCTATCATGTATATTATACATGTACTATCATCTAATTATATCGTGTATATAACATGTACTATCATCTAATTATACCATGTACTGTCATCTAATTATACAATGTACTGTCATCTAATTATAACGTGTATATAAAATGTACTATCATCTAATTATAACATGTACTGTCATCTAATTATAACATGTACATGTATATAACATGTACTATCATCTAATTATATCGTGTATATAACATGTACTATCATCTAATTATACCATGTACTGTCATCTAATAATTAATTATACCATGTACTGTACTGTCATCTAATTATAACATGTACTGTCATCTAATTATATATCGTGTATATAACATGTACTATCATCTAATTATATCGTGTATATAACATGTACTGTATATAACATGTACTATCATCTAATTATATCGTGTATATAACATGTACTATCATCTAATTATATTATATAACATGTACTATCATCTAATTATAACATGTACTATCATCTAATTATAACATGTACTATCATCTAATTATACCATGTACTGTCATCTAATTATATCGTCTAATTATAACATGTACTATCATCTAATTATATCATGTACTGTCATCTATTATACATGTACTATCATCTAATTATATCCATGTACTGTCATCTAATATAACATACTACATCTAATTATATCGTACTGTATCATCTAATTATATCGTGTATATAACATGTACTGTCATCTAATTATAACATGTACTATCTAATTATATGTACTGTCATCTATATTATAACATGTACTATCATCTAATTATACCATGTACTGTATCTAATTATAACATGTACTATCATCTAATTATACCATGTACTGTCATCTAATTATAACATGTACTGTCATCTAATTATACCATGTACTGTCATCAATTATAACATGTATTATATCGTGTATATAACATGTACTATCATCTAATTATAATATAACATGTACTATCATCTAATTATAATATAACATGTACTATCATCTAATTATATCGTGTATATAACATGTACTATCATCTAATTATATCGTGTATATAACATGTACTATCATCTAATTATATCGTGTATATAACATGTACTATCATCTAATTATATCGTGTATATAACATGTACTATCATCTAATTATATCGTGTATATAACATGTACTATCATCTAATTATATCTATCATCTAATTATATCGTATATAACATGTACTATCATCTAATTATATCGTGTATATAACATGTACTATCATCTAATTATATCGTGTATATAACATGTACTATCATCTAATTATATCGTGTATATAACATGTACTATCATCTAATTATATCGTGTATATAACATGTACTATCATCTAATTATATCGTGTGTCCATCAGTATTCTAACCTCAACGGACTTCGCAGTATTCTAACCTCAACAGACTTCACTAATTATATCGTGTATATAACTAACCACATATAACGGATATAACTTCTATCATCTAATTATATCGTGTATATAACATGTACTATCATCTAATTATATCGTGTGTCCATCAGTATTCTAACCTCAACGGACTTCGCAGTATTCTAACCTCAACAGACTTCACAGTATTCTAACCACAACGGACTTCACAGTATTCTAACCTCAACGGACTTCACAGTATTCTAACCACAACGGACTTCACAGTATTCTAACCTCAACGGACTTCGCAGTATTCTAACCTCAACGGACTTCGCAGTATTCTAACCACAAGGGACTTCAACGTATTCTAACCACAACGGACTTCAAAGTATTCTAACCTCAACGGACTTCACAGTATTCTAACCACAACGGACTTCACAGTATTCTAAACCTCAACGGACTTCACAGTATTCTAACCACAACGGACTTCTCAGTATTCCAAACATAGCAAATGTACCATAGAAATCGCCATCTGAATGTGCAATGCATATTGATCTTATCCCGTACATTGTTTTTAAATATCTATCTATTTTCGAATATTGTTCATATAGTTGCTTGACTATTCATATTATGATAAGGAAATAGAGTTAGAATTTATTTTATTTAAGCTAAAAACCACCAAGATGAACTTACCAAGTAGAGTTCGTGTCATTTTTTGACACTTGTCACTTATACATTAATAGAATTGAGAAATATATCATGTATTTCAGCCTGATTTATCTCTTTTAAGAAAGACGATTTTGTAAAGAAAATAAAAATATTAAATCGCTCTTTGAATGTTAAGTAAATATAAATGAATTGGTTGTAAGATTTTTTCTATAAGTTGATCAAGATTTTTTGCCTTATCTAAAAGATTTTGTGATGAAAGAGAGAAAGTATGTTCCAGACCATATTGGTACATAATACTGATATTTTAACAGAGGAAGAAGGATTTTAGAGAATTCCCTCTATTTCCCCTATTGAAACCTGTCACTTCACCTTCCGGGGGCCAAGAACCATCGTTTATACAAAATTAGTTCCACTTCCCACAAGAATGCTTCAGACTGAATTTGGTCAAATTCTAATAAGTCGTTTATGACTAGTAGCCATCCTGAGAAGAAAAGTTGACGGAAGGACGGACGCCGCGGTATGCTAAAAATGACAACTCTCAGCCAGAATTATTTATTTCCAAAGATAGTCCATCAAGTTTAACTCAGTAGGTTAGATCACTTTACAGTAAAATTAATTATTCGGAACACTTGAAGCATAACAGAAACGTTTTACATAATTAGCATACATTTTAGACGTAATGGTGGTGCATGGAGACCGTAAAAGTATGGAAACTCAGTAACGTCTTTCACATTCTACGATAAAAATACCACATAATTTTTCTATTTACTATAAATTGAAATTTTTGTGTTTTTTGTGTTTGTTTCAAGTACGGAGAAAGCCAGTATTACCAACTATGTTGATGTTCTTGGTCAGTTCATTGAGAAATCTACAGATTTTTGAAATATGAAGAAACGTACTTAAAATTCATATGAAATAGTAAATGTAATTAGCATTATCATTTTCTTCCCTTATTCGCACTTTAAATGATCTTAAAATAAAGACCCATTATAAACCTCCTTTTTAAAACTTTGACTCGAAATGATATATCAAATACGAGCTATTATTATGGAGTACATATCTAGCGAATGAGACAATACGGTAAAGATTGATCGGAGTATCACTTCACAACGATCACTATCCATCATATGTAAATAAACGTGTTTGATGTAGTGTTATGTTCGTAATAAACCTGTGAAATTCACATGTCCGTTTGAGGAACGTACTGCCTGATTTCTGGCTCCTGTATTCCGAAGTTTACAGGGAACAAATATGACAGTTTCTCTGTTGTTTCCAGTTCTTCTTTTCGGAATAATGTCGTCCGTCTTCGGTTTTAGACCAATAAAGACAAAGGATGCTGGGCCAAAAAGTAGTGGATGTCCGGATATACCAACACATGAAAACTTCAACATAACAAAGGTAAACTTGTAAAGCATCGTGATATCGATGTCTTCACGTTCTTGTATTTAAGATATCACAAGGTTAACGCGCTTCGTTTGATTACTGCAAGCTTTTTTCTACTGTCCAAATTTTCGCGGTGACTGATGCGTGTAAGCCC